GAAATCAGGAACTAATTAGATCTGAAGGGCTTGTCTAATCAAATCTGATGGAGTAACAGCTAGATTTATTCAAGCATGCTAATATTATTTGTGGAATTACATACAGTATGGCTAAGGTACTGTATGGATAAAATATTTTTTTCTTGAAGCATTCTCCAGTTAAGAGTCTGTTCCTTGCACTTCATGACATCTGAGAATTTACAATTTTACATTTCTTCGTGAACTCACACTTTTATAATGGTCTCAATATAGTGTGATTCTTGTATAACTATGTTTTCTTTACATTCTCTTTTTCTGTTTTCATGGTTTCTGTGCTCTATCATTGCTTAAAATTAATTGGTTCAAGTCAGCATTACCTTTTTAAAATTTGCAATGGAGAAAGCTAGCCTAAATCTAATTGTGCTGCTAGTGTGAACACATTTCCCCAGTTCTCTTCAGTCTTACATCTCTATAATAAAAATGAATGTGCTTCCTTGCTTTAGGGTACTGGGATAGATTGCATATGCAAATGTCTAAATTCTCATGGTAAGGGAAACGACCATGTATTAAATGTATGCAGTGAATGATCTACAAGTATCTTAGCTCTGCCAAAGTTTAAATTTTATTTCAAACCTTTATTTTGTATCACTGTTCGTTTAGTTCAATCTTGAAACTTCTGTACCTTGACATTCACTTTAAGAAAGTAGGGTCTTTCCATAGACTTCAAGATTTAATTCTATTCTATGGCTCCCTTGAGACATTGTAGATTATATTTTGTTCCTGTAATTACATACTTTTTCACAATCTGACTTTTAATAGAAAGATTTACAAGTCTCAGACTTGACATTTCCATTCTCCAATTTTCCAAAATCATAAAGTCTTTACAGGTAATTCCCTTCCACTTTGGAGAAATAAAGAAGGTCCAATTCAAGATTATATTTTCTAGTATGTAATGAAGCAGACGTTTTTCTTTTTATAGTTGTGTCTCTGTTGTATGCCTAAGGTATCCCAGTGGTGTTAGATTGTCTACATACCAAATGAATGATCTTCTGAATTTCAAAGACAAAACCAAATGAGTGGCTTCCTCCATTTATGTTTTTTCTGTTCCTACTAGACTTCATACAAACCTTAGCCATCACTGTTTGAAATAGGGTTTGATTATTCCACATAATCAAATTTCCTAGAACAATATTTGAGACAAATTTGGCCTCCAGAAATCCTAATAATCAAATGATCCATTTATTTATTTTTTTCACAGAGAGAGTTATTTAACCATGATAATAAATGCTATCATTAGAAGCATGCCCTAGTAACTTCTATATGTTCTGACCGTGGGGACCTAAAGGCAACATTTTTGTTGAAAGGTTGTATTATATAGCTTTGACTCTGTACTGCTTTTAAGAACTTAAAAAAGATTAATAAAAAACAACATGTAATGACCATCCTGTAAATATTTTATCAATCTGGACAAAAATAAATTCATCACACACGGAAACCCATTAGTACAGACACAACTGATGCTCATGCAACCTGAAAATAAATGCCTTACTTTTATGCCCCATTTAAAATGTGGCATAATTTTAAGATGTAAAATTCCATTCAAGCATTTTCTAATCACTTCATCGAATACAGGGTTGCGAGGGAGCCAGAGCCTATCCCAGCAAGCAATGGGGGAAAGCACAGCCCAGAACAGGACGTCAGTACATCACAAGGAAAACGCTCACACCAGGACCAGTTTTTCTAGAAACCAAGTAACATTTCTATTCAAGCAACTTTTTTATCATTTTTTTAAATCTGGCAACCACTGTTTAAGCTGTAAGCAAATGTTAATACATATTCAATTGGCCATTCACATCTGGAAGCTTGTTATAATGACATTAATAACAAATAAAAAGGCATGTTCCCCTTGATGCAAATTTCTAAGATTAACCAATTACAGTAGTCCTAAGGGCAGACCTATTTTTTACACTACAAAGTCAGACGTTTTCTTCTGGGCTTTCTCTGCAGTGGTTTCAATGTCTCTGATGCAAAGCAGCTGCTACTTCTAAGTTGGGAGCTATAATTATTTAATATGCCTTGCTTTGAACTATAAGTGCTGAAGGATCATGAGGGGACAAATAGTGAGAATATTGCAGATGAAAATGACCAGTATTTTTTCCAAACTCAAGTTTCTATAAACTTTGGAACTGTGGGGTTTCATTCAGCTGGAATCCTATTCTTTATATATTAGTTACCTGGTTCTTTTTATTCTTTGTTTTCTTCCTAAGCTTCCAAAGCTACAGCAGTTAAGCAATCACCTTCTCCTCTACTTAAACAAAATAAAAACATGAATAATAACTGCTTTGTATTTTTATATAAGTGATCATTTTCACCATGAAACAATTGTTCTTAAGCACAGCATGACAAATGCATGTTTCTTTCAGTTGGAATAAAGGTTAACCTGTGCCAGTGTACATGTTGTGAATTGGATAATAAAGAAAATTCAATAAGAATGTAAGAGTATTTCTTCCAAGATCACCAGTCGCCTGTTAGTGAGATAGTGAATGACAACAGATGACAGGTGGGAACTGGCACTTTTGCCCTTGGCATCTGTTGCAATCCTGCATAGAACTCAACATATGGTTAGTAATTTAGTAATGTGACTTCTACCTCTTTCATAAATGGTGTAAACATCATAATGCCTCTTCATACGTATTAGAAAATAAACCAATATACAGTATATGCCAAGGTTATTCTGTTGTCAAGCTAGGAACAGCATCAAGGAAAGCAAGGACAGTCAGGATTTAAAAAAAATAATGTATACTGACAATCAAACAATTTTTTTTGATTTATCAAACTTTCTATTTATTCATGTTTTGGAATAATTAAATATATAGCTATATATAAAACTAAACCTAAGTATTTTTTGGAAGAATAAAATCTATGTCGATTGTTGTCTAGGGTGTTCACAGCCTGTAGTTTCTAACCTGGCATGATGTTACAGCTATCTACCTTGATCAATGCATGTCCTCACATTATTCAATAAAGGCATTTGTTTTAGATTTGAATATGACAGATATGTGATGGATGCTCTATTCATCAGACAGAAACCCCATTGGGTTTCTGTTGGATGGTCAGGGATGGTATATGCCATTTAGGTTCAGATACCAGTGAACAGGCACATGCTTGTCTGGGGTCTATTAGGTTAATAAAATGTCAATATATCTGATGGAAAATTTTTTTTTTTTACTTTATTGTAGTTAGAAGTGATAGGTTGCTTCTGAAACTCTGCAAATAGTAATATATAAAAGGGATAAAATTAAAATTAAAATATTGAGCATTAAATATCTGCATTTTAAATAGACATCATAAATAGAAATACTGTACTATGATATGTACTGTACTATTTTAAATACTGGGATATGTTCCCCATAGTTACTCTGAGATCATTAGAATATAAATTTGATTTCTGTAAACAATGTCACTCATAACTCTAAAAAACGTAGTACCAAATGCACACTGCAAAGAATAGCTTTATTAGTTATATCCCACTGAAGAGGAAAATACTATTTGGATATGATACTTACACAGAACTTCTATTCTGCACACTGAATAAAGCACCTAAACAGCTGTCTAGTTTTACAAAGCATAAAGATGTAATTACAGTTAAAAGATTAAACCTTCTATTGCATCCTCCTGTTTTGAGTTAGACTCCTTTTTATAAACAGTTCAAAGGCTCTCACAAGCTTCCTTTTGTGAGGTCAGCTGGTACTGTAACTTGTGTTCTTTTGCTCCTTCTGTTAAATTTGCAGCAGAATGATCAAAATGGATAAACAGATCTTGACACGTAAAGAAAAACAGCCAGGAAAGGTTGGTGGAAGTCATGGATACAAGACAAAGCTGGCATGTGAAGTAGCTAGGAAAAGCAAAGAGATCTTAAATGTCAAACCATTCCGGAAGAATAAAAGGGCATGCAAATGTCATGGCAAGGTAAACAGGAGAAAAGGATGATTCTCCCTAAAACATGAAAGACCGCACATGCGGAATCAGAATGGCACCTCTGACCACTGAAGGAAAATGTTCCCTTTAGATCTACTTAAAAATGATATTACTGATTACTGCCAAACTGTTACAACAAAATGTTTTAAAAGTTAATATCATTGCTGTTATTTAACATTTAGATTTTTCAGATGTTACAAATCCCACATTATATATGAACATTTAATTGTACACACAAACATGCAACAAAAAATACAATATGCGTCTACTGGAAGAAACCCTTATAAATACAAAGTGTTGTCTCTTTTTTTGGTTTGTGCTTAAATCCACTGAACTATACTGTATATATATATTCATTTTTAAATCCCATGCCTGAATTAAATCCCTGTTAGTGGTAAGATATCAAAAAGGGTATTGAATCATCTGAAGGCTTCCTTAAACCAAGTCTTGTCTTAAATGCCACCAGCTGTGAAAAAATGTTAACCAACAGGCAATACCTTGCTAAAACAGTCTGTCTTACAGGGTTTGACTTGCTCTAAGGATTAGAAACACTAACAAGACAGTTGAAAGAGGAATAAAATTACAAAGCAGAGCACAATTGTGTTTTCTTTAATTTGTCACAAAACCATCTTACCATTCATTCAGTTAATAAGAAAAGTACTGTACATTAATGCATGGCAAGTTACTCCAATAAAAAACAAAGATGGATCTCACTGAAGTGCTGGTCTGACACTTTCATATAGTTTGCCATACTTGATAAAAAGCATCATGAGAGTTTTGGTGATTAAAAATTTAAACTTTAATATTTTCTTATTTTACTTCAAACTAATAGTGTAAGCTGCTGTTTTTCCATTAGGTGTGAAATTAATATATTAATAAGAAGTATATTTAATCTGGTTTTCATTAACATAAGCAATAAGGTCATGAATGGTTTGGAAAAAATTCCTTCTGAGATGCCAGTTATTGCTTCTGTTTTCTGCTGGTAAACATTCTAAAATGTAACTAATAATAGTAAAAGATATTAAAAAACACACTGTACTTGCCTTATCAGCAGATCCTGTGAAAGATTTATTTGTCTCTAGGTCTTGATCAACAGCAAATATGGCCTTAGTGTGGCCCACTAAAGTCTGAAGCAGCTTGCAGTGTCTTAAATCCCACACATTGGCCTGCAAAATTCAGAGAACAGCAAAACACAGTAGCAATATATACATGGAACAGGTCATCAGCTTAACAGCTGTCTGGAATGACTTGGCTGTGGGTGAACCCCTACAAACCCCTATTAAACACTGACCTCTCTTCAGTAGGGGAAGAGCTGAGCTGAATGGAAACCACCTGCCACTGCACTGAGGATACACACTGACAAGCCGCAGTGGAAACATGCACCGTGTTGTGTTTGTTTCTTCATTTGATTTTTTTGTCTTTGTTGAAAGTGACCTAGAGTCCTGAGAGCAATTAAAGGAGTGCGCACGCACCAGTCTGTTGACTTCAACAGTTTCCCACTGTCCTTTGTCATTCAGCCTTTTACAGCATAGTTTGTGTTTGTTCTTCACACCGTGCGAACATTCACAAAAGAGAAGACATTTTTAAGAGTTGGTCAAATTTTAGTACATGATCAAAAATGAAACATTAATACTTTTGGTGGAACCAGGTTTGTAAAGCAAACTGAACATGTTCCCTATTATATATTGTAGTGTGTATTACAATGTACTGTAAGTGCTCTACTTAGTTCAAATGATTTGGGCTGGATTCTTATTCTATACACATTGCAGTCAGACTAAACATGAAGAGCCACCACACTACTCTGTTAGTATTTGAAACAAAAACATTTCTAACATGAAACTTTTCTGGCTCTGGATGTGTGCATTTAGAGTCCTGTTAAGCTCTGAGGTGAATTTAAAATGGATATCTTGCACTAACACTGAAAGTTTCACTTAATCTGGAAAACAGTAGCTTTGGATAGCAATAGATTGGTAGCAGATTTGATGTCAACATTAATTACGCTTTTGTTAAGTGAGATAGAGAGCTCAGAGCTCCTGAGACAGGTCCATATTGGAAACCACTTTAAGTGATGTGCGTAGAAAACACGAGCAAAAAGCTAATGTCACCAGGCATCCACTTCACATCATGAAAGCTGGTTGCAAAATATACTCCTAAAAGCGAATCTGCAACACTCATAAAAATAACAAGTATCTTTCAGTATACTGTTACTTGTGTTCTATACATGTAATATGTATGCAAAACTCTCACAATAAAGACCAAATATATATTGAGAATAATGAGAAGAACATTATTCTCAATATATATTGAGAGACTTTCGATATGAGAAAATGTAGAAGAGCACTGACTACTTACTATCATTGATCCAAGGATTTAAAATGTCTGGATGAGATCCTTAGATTAATAAGCTACGTCCTACCAAATGGGTCAGATAAGCCAAATGGCCTTCTCTTTGGGTCTGCTGTACACATGTACTGGGTTGCCACACAGGCAGAAATGTAAAAGAGAGATGCACAGAATTACATTTATTTATAAGACGTTCCTCTTCACTTGCCTGCTGAGCTCCCCCAATTAAAGTGACTTACTGTTAGTTTAAATATTCAAAAATATTCATTAAAAATATCTGTGCTCAGAATGATCCTTTCAATTCAAAGTAGTCTGGCAACTCAGTAGCATGCCGCCAACTCTAAATTGTTGCTATTCAATAAGTTCCAAGTATTGCCATGATGCTTAATTAATCTATGTTTCTGTGCAATGAAGAATGAACATTTTCAAAACTACTATTTATTTACAGTGCAGCTGAAAACTATACGATTGAATGTTTGATATTATGACTAAAGGATTTAATTAATGCATGCTAACCCTACATCTGCTAAATCCATACTTGTACAAGTGTTAAGCAAAACTGCCAGCATTAGAACCCTCTTCCCTGTGATGCCATTATTTACATCATTTTTATGAGTAAATGTGTTCTTCTGCAGTGTCTTTGGAAGAGGCTATTCACACAGCTATCTCAGCAATAAGGAATGGGCAGAAGATAGGGTGGTGCAAAATACAGCTTACATACTGTAGATCACAAAGGCTGTGATTTAATTGGGTGTGATATGAAGTATATTAAGAATTATATTGAATCCGGTTTTCATTAGCATAGCAATAAGGCAAGGCATCGTAGGAAAGAAGGCCTTTATGAGTTGCCAGTTTTCACTCGTGGGATAAGCATTTAAAATTCAGAATACAGCTGAAATGAAAAAAAGAAATCATTAAAAGGAAACACCACAGGGAACACGTCTTTGCAAGTTTTTCTGTTCCCAACTCTTTACCATTCTTGTAGATTCAATATATGTCCAGGCTGGTAATTTAATCTGATGAAATGACCGTGCCTCAAGTAGCCGAGCTACTTCATTTTTTTTAAAGTTATCTATTGATAATTTTAATTTAATTATGTCAGGAGCAATGAATCTACCAGGTCCTGGGGTAAAACGTTCGGGATCAATCACACCTGGGAGTAGTGGAAGAAAATTACTTTTTTAATGCTGTCAAAAATAGGGGTAATAGAAAGTGATATTTCACTGTGAAAAATAGAAACCCTGGAAATAGCCGAGAGGTCACAGTTATGATTTATCTTTTCAAATGAGCTAATATCATAAATATTGTATTATGCATGCACTGGGAATGCTGAAGCTGCACAGCCTATTAGCATTTCCCAGCCTGTCAAAAATACATCATCTAATGTGAAGCCTGATATGAAAATTAATTAATTTGGTTTTTTGATTCACTCTGTTTATACAGGTTACTAGAATCGCTTAGCTATCATTCAATGAAAGAGGTACTGTAAAAAGAAATAAATTCCAAAACACGCATGCACACTTTATGAAAGCAGAAATGAAATTACTATTTGTTACCACCGAGTCTGTTTGTAATTGCTTCACTAGGTACAATACTCAATTTGAGATAACTAGTATGTGGATTTTAGATCAATTTATGCATTAATATATTTTTACTAAAACAAATATATAAAAAACTACATGCTGGAGGTTCTATACACTACAATAACCATAGGATTAAAAAATATTTAACTTGGACTTAAAACAGCTCCAGTCACAAGTGTCCAAAAGAAATATTGATGTTAGACTTATTATTAACATTGTATGTATAGTTCTGCATGAAATGTGTTTAAAGCATCCTCTATTAGACAAAAATGCCTCAACCAAGGGGCATATTTCTAATTAGTATAATAATTTCAGGATTTTATTTTTGTTTTGTTTCTCATATTTCTCTCTTAGCACAAGCAACTGTATGTGATTTGCTGTGAGGTTATGGTTAAAAAAAATGTAGAGGACATGTGCACTCTGAACACCACCAAAGATCCATAGCCTTACTGAAGTTTCAGTCGACTGCCATTTGCTTGCTTTAAGTGTTGTTCTTGGTGCTGAAGCCATTATTACATTAGGTCAGTTAAGTTTCTCTGCATGAATACTTACTGTTTTGTCTTGAGATCCACTAAGAAGTATATTGCTTCTCAGCACAATTGACCAGACAGGACCACTGTGTGCAGTTAATGTCCTTACACAGGCACCCAGTCTTATGTTCCAGATCTGCAATTAAAGGCATGATTTAGAGCACACACCAGCATGTTTTGTAGGTATGAGTATGAATTCAAGAAGGATTTTTTTGCTTTCTTACTGCAATATCAACTAAGCCTTTTTAGCTCCAGGTTCAATCACCTCATTAAAAGCGCTAATGCTCTACAGAGCAACATCCAATAGCACCATGCTCTAAGCTCTGTGTTGTCATATGCTAAAGCATTCTTTTTTTACAGTTCATAATTGGTTTCAAAATAATTTACACCAGACCGACTAAAAGAATTTTAACACTTTTGTATTGCTAATGAAAGAAACAGAGCAGCTCAGTGCATCAATTCACAGGCTCAGAAGAATTTCTATCTCGAAAGGAGATTAAAGAAAACAAAAGCACTCCTTATGGTAGGAAATCACATCCCTCTTCCAACTGACTTTATTATGATGAACTGTAACTTGAGAGAATGATTAGTACAATACAGGCCACTGTTAAGTCAGATACAGGGCAGTGCACAGTAAGTAATAAGTGCTCCCCTTCTACAGAGAACCACTGGAGACTACCAAGAGAGATGGAGTCTGATCAGGAGGTCTGAAAGGGTATCGTTTTCCCCCCAGATTATGTCAATGAGATTTAACTTGATTATTTCAAAATTAAATCCAGAGTGTACTACATTGCACAGGCCTCTCTGTCTCTAAGACATTTCTTGGAAGAAAGTTGATAGTTCATAAAATGTTTTATGAACCCTTAAATGGACAACCATTGGGATTTTATTTTTTAATTTGCTTAGCAGATGCCCTTATCCAGAGTGACACACACTTAATATAAATCTTCTATATTGTAAATGAAAGGAACAATAACATTACTACCGTAAGGGGAGAAATACATTTAATAAAATAACAATGAGGCTAGCACATAAACTGGAAGAGTGTCACAGAAACAAAATTAAAAAACAATATACAGTACAGACATATATATTGTGGATAAATAGTAGTAATATAAACACACTGTAGGCACTGCATGTGTACAATGAAGAAGAGAAAATAACATTATTTTACTGTATCCTTGCATCTGCTATTAAGGTGCTGTTCTACAAATCTCATTACCTTGATGGAAGAGTCATAGGATGAACTAACTAGGAGGTTCTCTGTAAAGAACTGCAGTCCCCAGACTCCTTTTCTGTGACCTTCCAGAGTCTGGACATGGTTTCCATTGTGCAAAAGCCACACACAAATAGTTTTGTCTTTACTTCCACTGGCCACATACTTATCACAAACAGCCACACAGCAAACTCTAAAAAATATTGAATAATAAAATGATGTCTTTACATAATATCTTGATTATCCTGATCAAACTCAGTGTTCAATAAAATTGTGGATATACAATTCTGTGTGTATGCTTATAGAGGGTCTGGTCTGGCATCTGGAAGTCAAATTCTTCAACGAGCAGTTTCTTTTATACCAGAAAGAAAAGCTGTGTCTTAATCACAGCAAAAACAAGATCTCCTCTGAGTCATAATTATAAGGAATGAGTTCTACTTTTTGAGATAGCACATTTTCAATTTTCAAGGTCTTTGTCAAATTTCTTTAATCTCTTGCCCATGAAGTTAGAGTTTTATTACCACTATACACTTCTGCTAATTAAAGGAGTGGAGGGTAATACATAACAAGTAACAGTGCTCTTTGGTTTCACCTTTCTGAAATAATATTGGCAAAGGTTAAACTTGCACTTCTACTAAGAAGAACATCTCTATGCTTAATGCTTTGGGTTATATGACGAGAGCAGGTTGCAGAGGTAAAAACAGAAGATGTGCAGAAATAACATAACCTATTTAAAGAGCACTTGAAGACTTCTCCATCTGTGGATATTAGGTTTTTGAGAGGGCTTTGTTTGGTAGAAGCATACACACACAGAGTCACTTAAATTAACAGCATACAAAAGAGTTAATTTTATGTTTAAACTAATTTATGCACACAATAAAACATTTTTAACTGAAGGTAAAATTCAGGTTAATGTTCTCTAATCACAAAGTAACATTATTGTGTTATGAACACTAAAACACTAATGTAATTATATATATGTGTTTTTTACATGAATTACGCGTGATTATATCAATGTATGCAGTAAACAATGCATTACAGCATCTCTTACAACACTACACTAAAAGATACAGGTTGTGAACTTGGCTACACATCACAAAATTTGTTAGAAGCTAAGTAATGGTATAAATTAGGAAAAACAATGCAACTAAACACATACTTGAATTTTCTTCTTGAAAATGTTTTTTAATGATGCAAATCTATCTTGAAATGACTTTACAACTAAAAAAAAATCAAAGGAATTTAAGTGTTTCTTACACTGCTGTGTGGCCTTTCAGCTCCACTGTGTAACACCTTCCTCTTTTCCAGTTCTGTCTCAGACAGTAATCATTCTTAAAGACCCTCTTCCAACTTTCAGCCTGCTCTATCACAGGGATCCCTGAAAAAAAGCACCACCTGGCCTTTCGCTTTGAAATAATAACTGTAAAGTCATCCTATATTACAAATCAGCACAAGGCATCATACCATCACATCTGGTGCTGTTTTCTAACCAGACTATTTCTGCATTTTGCATTGGACCATTTTCCTTCAGAAAATAAAGAATAATTAAAGAAGGTATCCTCATGGAGGATTCTCAAGTAACGGACGTGTCACCCTTGAATTTCTGCATTGCAGCAACTAACAATGCTTCAGCCTTCTGTAATTCCCATGACAGTTGTGTGTGGGTTACTCCTGTACACTTTTCTTTAATGTGTCCGCAGGTCAGTTCAAACCCATCCGTGGCCAAAGTATCCTAGATGACAATTTAAAATCAATCGACCTTAAAACCTCTCAATAGTAATGGTTGACTTGAGCAGAGTGACAAAGCCTCCAGGCATTCCCTGTGTCAGTGGTACCAGCTTTACCACAATGGTCAGGGGAGCTCTTCAGTACGTGCGTTATTACATTTAAATTAATAAATAAAATATTGAAATAAAATTATCTGTCTTTCCTTGAAGTTCCTGCGCACATCAACACAACCTCTACTGCTGTTTGCTCAGTATCAAAAAGTGATCAATACAGTACATACAGTATATATATATATTTTGCCAGAAAACTAAGTACATTAAGTCAAACACAACAAACAATAATAGTTTCTATATGGCATGTTCACATAATGTGAATTTCTTCTTGATCAGTGATAAAGATAATACTGTCCTACTGCTCTTTATACATGTTCATTTTACAGTTAAGATCCAATATAAAACCTGTTTTTTTAAGTGCTACCTGATATGCCTCAACATATCTCAGCAGAAACCTGATTGATAGGGTAAATATAATGTGACCTATAAAAGCAACTAATATAGCCAACATGATATTTTACCTCCTTTGTAATATCATGTAAAATTCAGACATATAATTCAGCCATATAATTTTGCATACCTTGTAATTTTTTTTAATTTCACAGCCTTTTAATCTCAGCTTTACAGAGCCTATAAACTATACCCAGTTAATTTTCCAATCTAAATAGACACACTACAACAATTAAGGTTGAAAGCTTTTCATTGATCAGCACTAAGTAAGAGAGGGACGAGAAAGGTCTTACCCACTGTAGACTCCTTGCACTTGATCTGCCACAAGCGATTGCTGCCGCAACGTTTATACCATGTTTTACAAACCTGCATGGTTTGAAACAGAAGCAGTGCATTACACTGAAGTAACATTGTGTCATTTTATCATACAGAGAGCGCCAACTTTATAATTATCTATTAGCAGAAGAGTGAGGCAGGAGTCAGCCAGTCTAATGACCAAGTCTATGAAGAGGCCCTTCATTACAGTGCTTCTAGTGAAAGCTTACTTTTCTGTCATTAGTTAGCTTTTTTGCTCAGTCATCAAGGAAACAACATTAAAAAACGTCACCGCTAAGCTTAGCACTTTCAGAATTCAATGATGTCATGCAAAAACAGTAATAAAAGAATTTAATTCGACACGTAATACTTTTCTCCATTTCAGTCTGTATAAAAAGGTTATTTTACCCACCCAAAATAGGCTTTTCTGTATTCTAAATATTCATGACACAGTATGAATCAAAATGTCTTAACTTCACACTTCAAGTAAAATGTGTTTTTAGCAACTAAAAATAACTATTTATTTTGCATAACGTCAGTGAATTTTACTATCCTGTGTGGTATTGTTACTGTTTACACGCTTTTTGGATGGTATAGAGAAGAAACCCACCCCCCAATGTCTTTGAATTTTGGTTTTAAAAGAACTGTTAAAGAAAAAATATATCAATCATATGAACTAATAAATGACAATCATTTGGAAGAGCAAATTGCATGAATGAATTTGGCTAACTTCCAATTCTAAATACACAGGATCTCCTTCATATGATTTCTTCTTAATGATGGCAGCACTAAATATAATGACTTTTTTTACACACAACATACAGCAAAGTAATCAGTAGGAGAGCATTTGATGATGCTTCCTGAAGCTCAGTCTGTTCATGTGTGCTAAACAACAGGCTTTCTCCGAATGACATAAATGTGAATGACTGAAGCATTAATAGCTTTTGTTGAGGTAAAGTGCTTCAACATAACATATCAAAGATATCTTTCAAAGACATTGGAAACCAGTGAATAAAAATGAATGCTGTATTGGAGGCTAGCAACTTTTCTCTACAAATACAATTACTCTTATGCTTTTGTATGGCAAATAAAACTTCTGAGCATGGCTAGCACGATTGCTGTTGCTAAGCATGACAAATTTGGAAGACACCTTTTGGAGAATTTCATACTGCTGGAAAGCTAATCGATGAAACCCAGGTTAACTAATGTCCAAAGATCGCACGTCTTTAAGTTTGGATATCTCTACTTCTGGCATTTATTTCTGAGACTGATAACAATTTTTTACCAAGAAGTTATGTGTGCCCTTTCATGGAGTAATTTTAAAATACATATTGATCAAACACGGCAATCTACACACTCCAAGCTTGCATATTTCTTAGTTCTCTGGACATAAAAGTGTATTGCAGTTCTGCACATAATTTGGATTTCTATCATCATGATTTAATAAACTATCACTGATGATGCAAACTGAGAATTAATCACAGTGCAACATTGGTTGACTCTCTGACCACTGAGGAGTAAAGTGCCCGAGATGTGTCAATTTTACTGAAATATAGAAAGTCTACAGTCAGTCATCAGTGAGTGATTTATCTTTAGAGCCAGAAATTGGATTTTGGTGGAGAATCGCGAAGGGTCAATGACAGGAACAAAGAGAATTATTAATGTGATCAATATCTTTCAAATTGCTTTGTGTCAGATGTGTCTAAAGGCATCTCTGTTTTTACAATAACCTTTTTTAACTGAAGTGTCAGCATTTTCAAATATATTTGTTTGGAGTTTTGTTTGCTACTATATCCACTGGCTATGATCTTGTATTTAAGGTACAGCTATCCTGCAGTTAAAAAAACATATGGAAGTCTCTACTTTGTCATGAATTTCTACTTCTAGTCCACATGCACAGTTTTTATGTGAACATACATACCGTACTGTACATATATTCTCTTTTAAGGATTTAATTGATATATACATACAGTATATACATCATGTATACTATACAAAAATGCTGGTATAACCAGTAAATAACTGAAAATAAATTGCAAAGTGGAAAAGGCTTCACACCATATTATCCATATACTGTATATTCTTACAATCGAAGAGCCAAAAATCTCTCACAATACATACAAATAAATGTTTTCTACACTACGAAGATGTTTCCACCAGTATAGATAAAACACTGCAATATTAGTAGGTTTTGTGTCATGATTTAACATTATTTCTTGTTTTCAACATCGCCCATTGTACAGAAATATTTCACTTAAGGTGAAAATTAATTCACCTTAAATAAATATTCCAAAGTATAAGTTCCTACTTATCGTCACCATCAAAACCAAAATGTCATCATCATCACTTTCCAGATTGAAAGCTCAGACTTGAAGTTCCTCACTGGTGAATTTCAGCTTGTGTTCAGTACTTCGTTGCTGGCTGTGAGTGGAAGTTTCTTCACAATCTGAAAGCTGATTGACAATTCTGTACATTCCCCCCAGTCTGTTCCTATATCAGTTTTGGGTGAGTAGTCATAGGACACATCTAATATTGTTCTTCCATTGTTTCCTAGAGCTGCAGTTCCTCAGGGGTGGGGGTTGTTTCAGTTTCTTCCCAATTTAGAATACCCAGGTACAAATATAATTTTATACAAAACAAAATTAATGCAACACAGAAAGCAACAGGAACACAGTAATCAGTTAAACTACCTTTACTCATTTCCTTTGGAAAGTTGAAGCTTTGTGACAAGGCAGTTGCTGAAGCATCTTGGACTACAACACAACATTATATTACATAACTCTATTGTAAATTAGATTGTGAATTTGACATTCCAATGTTGCAAAATATATGAAGCTCAATTTGTCCTTAATAGATTAAGAAGGTAATGTGGAAAAGTTCTAGCCTGGCTAGAAGATGCAATTATGGTAAAAAAAAATCTTTTGAAAACAATTAGCTTTAATGTAAATGCAATCAACTTATAACAAATTGCACTGGTTAAACACATTAGAACAGATTGCTGTACAAGGTTTTGGGTGGACATGATGAATTAATTTGAAATAGAATGCTTCTGGTAAAATCAATCTGCCTTATTCCAGCCATCCTCAAAACCTATATGCATTATTTAAGCTATTTAATTAAAAACCCTGTCCTTTGACTCTTACTGTAATACACGAAGAATCAAATCACATTTCAGTGTTAGATCTCCAAGTGAAAGACCTTCCACAAGGAAGAACAAAATTAGAAGTATGCGATGTGAATTGCTTTTGTTTTAAGAATTAAATTGCTGAATGTGGTTACTGTGGAACGTTTCCTGTTTATGAAATCAAAATGATTCAATTCATTTACATTAAAAAAAATTCAACATCTCACTGAAGTCTAAATTTTCTACCACATTTCAATTCTTTTTTTCTTGTTTCAGTCACTGTAATCAATTTTAAAATATCAGCAAATCTGTTCAACAATGTTTCCAAATGAATAAAAATGCTATGAACATTTCATATTTAAAGAACCAGCACTGGCCCACACTGCCACCATGTGGTCAAATACATCCATCCACCCATTTTCAGTGGCAACATCGTCCTTAATCATGCTGCCATCAGCAAGAGCCGAATCTTACAGTCACAAAGCATAAGGTTTATAGCGCGATTATGACGTGGATGGGACACCGGCCCAATGTGGTCAAATCACTCAGTGACTTTCTTTTGTGTAAGGCCTGGAATTACACCATGCACAAAAAGTAAATTTTATAGGTAGGTGTTTCTAATAGATACGATAAGAGATAGGAAGCAATGTGAAGACTACTATACTTCTAATTATGAGTAATGTGCAGCAATATGAAGCAGTTCTCACTTAAAATGTAGCTCATTTAAATGGATTTCTATTGTTTTTTAGTGCAAAAAAGCACTGGAAAGATAGTCTAACTATGTAAAGCCATTCCTTTTTTCTTGTCTTTAAAAATTTGTGGAAAAAGAAATGCTATTTAGACCAGTTTACTTATAACATTCATCCTTCCATTCTTAGCTTTATCCAGTTATTCCAGGAGGCAAGAGGTGCAAGCAGGATCCTGTACAGAACACACACAGACACAAATGCACACACTCACACCAGGGCCAGTTTCCCCAGAAGCCGATTAGCCTAACAGCATGTCTTTGGATTTCCTGTTGGAGAACTGAGCACCCAATGGAACCTGACACAAACACAGGGAGAAACATACAAACCTCACGCAAATATCACCCCAGGAACTGAACCCAGAGCCCCAGAGATACAAGACAGCAATGATAACCACTGCACCACCATGTCGCCCTGGTTTCCTTATAAGTTTTTAATAACAATCTGTAAAATTAGGATGAATCTAATAATTAGGATTAATTATTTGTTCCTAAATACTGAATGCATTTTTATAGAAAAGTCTTTTCAAATAATCAAGCAGAATTTGGCTTGGCATGTACCTGGCTAGTCAAGAGGAGTTCTCTTGGAGACAGAAAAGACAAAATCTTTAGGGACAGCTTCTTTGGAAGAAGACCAATAAAATCCCGATAGCACTTTACCTAAAAAGAAAGAGAAGACGTAAACTAGGGTTACTGATAAAAAATGAAGCTGTCTTTGAGAAGAAATAGAGAAATAAGAACATGATACTTACGGATTTACTTATGAAAGGACACGATATCTAAAAAATTAGCAACATAAATTGCTAACTGCAAATAGAAAAGTATTACCTATGTACTTTTACAAGACTAAGGAAGAATAAAGAGCACTCTCCAGTAGGAATAGACACTTACTGTTAAAAATGTCAAAATATAATAATGCTGCCTTAAATCCAAAAGCAGTAATAGTTTCTTGAGCAGGTGATTCCTTTGTGCATCTGGAAGGAAACAAAAAAAGTGTCATTGATTTATTTTGTTCTTTATCTTGTGTCTGAATGAGAAAGCATTCACCTGGATATTAAAATATGCAACAGACATTGTATGCATTATTTGTTTTAATTAGGGGAGAATTCAAAACTCAGATAAAAGTGTTTGGTTTTATTTGCACTATTACCCAGTAAAGGACACCGAAACAGCTCCTGAGGAAAAGAAAGAAAGCCATAATTCCACAGCATGTGAGACAGTCCTGAATACAAGCTATTCAGTTGCAAGGCAGGTCTCAAAGCACATGGGAGTTTCACAGCATCAATGGGTGAAAAAACTGAACAGACACTGTCTGAGCTTTAAGATAAAATTTATAACTCTTTGGTACTGGACAGTTAAGCATATTGTGATACTGGATAATATATAATGCGAAGATAGAAATGCACTCCAGTGCACTTGTTATTACAGGCATGAATCACATGCCTCGTACAAAGGAGGACACAGAAGTACACATATTGTATAATCAAGTGAAATGTCATTCTATTTTCCAAATAGGATTAGTGCTGTCTGTATTCAACTCCTCTCTCAGATGTATAGTTCCTAATTACTGTAGTTTAATAAGGGAGGAATGCTTTCTCTACATCTGAGGGGCAGTTTTTATCTGATACTGTAGCTTTCTGGCCCCATCCTACCAGCGATGGTACAAGAAGATATTCTTTCCGCCAATAGATAAACTACTTGAGAAGTTTGGATGTTGAAGATGTTACACTGATTTCCCAGATTACAGTCCTTCGGTTTTAGATGTTTGGATTTTGAAGATGTTACAATGATTCCAAAGATTACACTCCTTCCTTTACTCTGAGTTAGAATTGTCCCCTGTAAGCCGTAAATGTACCACTCCACTCCCTGAAAGACACAATCCAGCAGGTTTCCAAGGTCTTTTTAAACCATTTAGAGTGGAAGACCTTTGAAAAGTGTTAACTTGGCCCAATTGAATTTAAGATTAGCTCAATTATGTCATTAAGAACAGAAGTAAGTGAAAACCACCAGACACTGAAGACCTCCAGGACTGAAGTTGAACAGCACTGCTGTAAATACTTTAGCTTTGTGTATATGTGTTTGGTGGAGTTTTATAATAACATTTTACCTCTAGCATTTTGTCCCTGTTCACCTACAGGAAGGATAAAATGTTAGCTGTGATTCTTTTTCAGTCTTTTTAATCCTGAAGTACACATCTACTGTACCTCTGCAAAAACAAAAGGGCTCTGAAACAACATTAGAGCATGAAAGTATGGATCTTTTTCGTTGAACAGATAAGTTAATTGTCCGTGTAAGCTTATGATTATACAGCCCTGGGGTGTCACACAATGAGTAACAGACCAATTATTTCCATGGCTTCTTTCAGATAAATTAGGGATATAAACACATTTTTTTAATGAGGGCCTTTTATTTCAGACACATCACACACATGTGCTCAGATGAAAAGCAATTTAAAAATAAACCACAAGCACGTTCCAAAGACAAACAATTCTTCAGCACTATAATGTGAACCATGGCTCTGTTTTGTGGACGGTTGTTTAATTAAAACCATGGTTTCAGTTTCAGCTCCAAAGCCCTAATGGAAGAAACTGGCATCACTGAGGAGAGTGTGTTAGTCAGCAGGACTGTAAGGCAGTAAGGGGCTAAGTACTGTAACAGAGAAACCTTCTGTTTCAAAGCATTTTTGAATCCAAGGATCCTAAATTAATCGAGCTCATTGCGAATGCAGGATAACTACTGCACTGGAGCACTTGGAGTTCTGCTGATTGAAAGAAAGCAGTCTAACAAAGCCCCAATGCATGATTTCCTTTCCACATGGGTACGGCTGAGCAGAACGTGCAACAGAAAATAAAGATGCCATTTGAAGAGCTGCGCCTCCTGATTTGAATGGAGTTATGATAAAAATGGAAATTCCTCTTCGCGCAATGAGCCATTCTGTTTACAGTCAGCTCTCAGCAGACTTTACAGGGAGCGACTTCTATTATATTGTGATGCTGTTAGGTATGGTGAAAAATAGAAAATTGGATTGGAAAGCTCCCTGAAGCGAGATTTCTCCTCCAAGAAGGTAATATAATGCTATCATATACTCCTAAGCTGTTTATATCAACAGTGGTAACCATTTTTTTTGCTGAGGAGGGATGCTACGCACCTCATTAAACTCTGAATTGAATTCCCAGCAAGGGCAATCTTGATGGAGAGAAGGCTAATAATCGGGCTCTTGTAAACTCAAAGGTTAAGGAAAGAAGAACAGTTTTCACTTTATATTTTTTTCTGAAATCCTTCCACCTTTTTTATGCTCTCCCACACAGCAAACTATTGCTGCTTCATGACCCAAACACCAGTTACAATGCCAAACACAAGCAAAAGATCTTAAGTAGGTGGGACTGGAAGAATCTCTATTCAACAACAACAACAAAAATCGTCCCTATGAGCTTCTTAATGTTACTTTACAGAATCGTTACTTTATACTTGTTCATAAATTGTTTTCTGTAAGCCATTTAGGCAATTCTGGACCACAGGAACATCCCCCCACAGCCAGAATAGTGATATCCTGTACTGTATAAAACCTAAAGAATAGCAATGAGATTATATTACAATCATACAGTCATCTAAATGACAGATGGGTGAAACCTGTAATGCAGTAACAAAGGATACACTGGGAAATAGCTTGTGAACTGTATATGTACATTCAAAAATGTGCATTACTTTCCTAAAATACCATTTTTACTGTTGACACAATTAATTTATTTCAGAATACTTCAAATACCACTTAATCTAATATTGATTATGTTATGGTTTACATCTTTAACTATTCTCCAGTGGTGAGAAATAGGAAAAACGTACTGTATATTTACAGAGAACCAGAGAAGCACCGATTTATTTAAATTAAGCTATATGCCATTTTTATCATTTCCAGAATATTGTTTTAGCTTCCTTGCAATCCAACCACATGAAAGCTTTGCCGTTTTAGGATGAACAAACTTCTGTTGAGCAACACTGTCATCTTGTGGACAAAGGCATATGCTGGCTAATGTCTATGCACTTAGAGCTAAAATTAAGCAACACTGCTTCTGTCAAGGCCAGGACCATGGAGGAATGGAAGTTACCCAAAAGCTCTTGTGTACTGTGTCCTCTATTCTGGTCCTGGGCACTCTATCTGTAGATGCTGCATGTACAGTACTCTGTTTGTGTAGGTTTTCTACGGGTGCTCTGCTTTAGTTCCCAGTGACAAGTTTCTGTTAGGTAAATCCATTTTCTTACCCCTTTACCAATACAGGGTCGGGAGGGGTGTGGAGCCAGCGATGAGTTCAAGGTGAGATACACCCAGACAGGACATTAGTCCATTGCAGGATAGACACAGACACAGACTCTCACACATTCACATCATGGCCAATTCACCCAGAAGCCAATTAACTTACCAGTATGTCTTTGGACTGTGGGAGAAAACCAGAGCAACTGGTGATGATCCACACCAAAGCACAGTAAAAACACTACATAATGCTACAAATTTTAATTAGGAAAGATTAGGATTTACCAATCTCTGAAATTGTAAAGAATAAAGCAACACATGGAATCTGACTATTAGAGACTTCCAATATATTGAAGATGAAGAATGATGCATACCATTCCACTGATGTTCATACATTTCAATAATCTGTCCAGGCTTGGGACTAACTCTTCTTCGAGGTAAAACTTTCTTCCCCTTTTTTAGAAAGATCATCTGTAACAACAAGTTCAAAATACTGTAGAGGTGATGGAACCTAAATTAAAAGAAGTATCTGTTACTTTCTTACATTTCAGCTTCAAAACTATAATTTTGTTATTCACTAACAGAGTATCCAAAAGTAAAAGCTACCTGCTCATGACTAGGGTTTACCTCCTGTGACCACATGAATGTCCTCTGTGCTAGGCGGAGGTCTTCACAGCAGGGAAGGGCATCTAGCTGGGGTTCAGATCTGTTTTTCAGAAAATCCTCCTGGCTACATAATTTGGGTAATCTGAGGATGGAAGTACAAATGTTTTAAAAAATGAAATGAAATCCAGATTTATATGTTGAAAATATATATGTATGCTCCGAAACCCAGTTGGGTAGGAACACAGCCTGGTGAAAGATGAATGTAAAAATACTCAAATGAAGAAAACTACAGTATTTAAGATAGATTTATGATCTTTAGGCTGGTGAAAATGTGTTGGGATTATTTATATATTTCATATCTATTTTAAGAATATGTGTTATTGTAGTCCAGTCAATTTTAGGCTGATTTTCCATACTGTTAACTTTTAAGATAACTGCTGTTTTAATTTAACATTTTTGTACTTATTTAAATAAATCATAAAATAAATGTTAGAATAATGTTAGTGGATTTTAATATTTTACAGTTTCGTATGCTTTATCCACGACGTTGTGCCTTTCTGTCTTTAATACTGTTGAGAATAGTACCTGATTCGCTGTTCTTCGTACTCTTTCACTGGACCAGTCCCCAGCCTCTCTGTTTGCTCTTGTGTGTGTTGACCGTTCGAGGTGAATCTCCTCACGTCATCCAGATCTCTCAGAAAGACACTGGGGACCCGGAAAAGCCGACCCATCCGCCCACCTTTAAACCACCTGCTGAGCCTACGGCTGAACTCGGTGCTGATGGGACTCAGCTGGAACTCAGGAAAAGCCATTCTAGCTTTAAAAAAGACGAAGGAGAGACATAACAAGACATTCCCAGACAGAATTTCGCTTTTCAAGAATTTCTCCTTATGCAAAATAACACTGAGTACATTGTTTACACTGATGCATGTAAAACATTGCATCAACATTGAGGGGTTTCTACAGAGTCTATAGCTAAAGGTGAGATTATGTGTCACCACCCCACTGTTAACTTTGAAGAACACGTGAGTAGAACATTCACTCCCATCGCTTTTCATTTGCATGCTCCTGAAAAATATTGTGACTGCAGAAACAGAAAACTCAAGAAAAGCACCACAATAGCTAGCACCACAATATGTACAAGACAAACGTGTGAAACCGTAAATTACCGGTGTACATGAAGTCCCTGTGACAGACTGGCTGGAGAATAGTCCACAGCAACTGGATCTGAGAAAACTGACTGCGAATCAGCAGCTGCTCCAGTATCCTGCACCTCTGCAATTTAAAATGCTTTTCAATGAACAGAACATCAGCTTGCATTCACTTAAAAATGCAGACTGATTCACAACACTTTTCAACAATGAAGACTTCTACAAGACCTATTGTTTTATTGGACCTCAGTATTTAAATGCACAGCTTTAATAGGAGGATCATGATGCTTCTTTCAACTTGACTACTAATCATCAGGTAACAAGTTGCAGCTGTTTTATTTATGTGCTCCTGGTTATCCTTTAATTCACTTACGTGATGCAGTTTTATGTGATTCTATCTATACAAACTACACTTTGCCATTACTCAGTCATATTTAAGTTACTATATATACAGTACTGTATATTAATATACCTTAAGTATATTTCATAAATGTAAATCAGAATTTAGCAAGTATTGAATGTGCTTTCTATAAATGCACAGTTTACAAACCATTGGATGGTTGTACTCTTCTATCTGTTCCAATATTTTCTCCAATTGGCTTTCATAATCCTTTTCCAGAAAGGCTTCCTGCTGAAAAGGCAGATTTCTCTGTGTTTTCTCCATGGCTACCTGTAAAAGCAGCACACAGTTTAAATTTACTGTACATTCAGTGCAGTAAAGCCCTAGACAATATAGTTCTACTGTATATATACTGTAAATATATATACATACAAGTGACATTATATTTTCCTCCTTCTGTGTCTGAACGTGATGTATCTTTAAATATAAGTGAAACCTTTTTCTGATTAATTTGATAGTTTTAAGAAGATAAATTATATTTTCGTATATCGATAAAAACTAGTGTCTTGAAATGCCCTCATCGAGAATTAATCTCGAATCACATTAACAGAATGTATCAGATTGGTAAATGCGAATCTATTAAAAGCATTACCTGTAAATCTGGTCCTTTAACAAGAGAATAGTAACTTGATCAATATAATAAATTATGCATGTATATTTATCCACTTTATATTATTTATAACATTTTACTAGTGGACTGGATTTAACATGAGTAAACGCTTTGACATCACTTATCCCAAAAAAAATTTTTGAAAGTGTGCAACACGTCCACTGTGAATTAACACAATTAAAACTGTGGAATTTTCTACCTACCTTGTGAACTTAATTACATGAAATGAATCATAATATGTTTACAGCTCCGTACAGGTTAACATATGCCTTCCAAGTAAATGCTCAAAGTAAATACCTACCCGGATTCCGATTGGCTACAGTGTCACCTGGAAACCGTGGATACTTTATAAAGAACTTGCAGGCACCGAGGTCCGGAGCAAATACTTCCTGCTTCCTTTTACAAAAGGTAAAACATACTTTGTCACGGGTATCGATGATCAGAAGGACAGGGTTTCAGAGTTATTATTATTATTATTATTAGTAGTAGTAGTAGTAGTAGTAGTAGTGTAGTTGTTCAATTAGCATAGCCTTTATAATTTAAGATTTTATTACTGTTGCTAGTTAATTTTTAACGTGGTTAGAAATCATATTGACTATATATATACTGACTATACTGTATTGACTGACTATAAACGTATGTACATTAACAGTAGCTTTGCTGTCTATTCTAATTACTACTTTAATGCCAGTCGTGCTTTTGACTGAAATTAAGCATGGGAGCGTGTGTAACCCGTCGTGTGAAACTGTACATATTTCAGACGTTCAGGTGCTTAAGAGTTCGTTTCTTCTTCTCTGGTGCAGAGGCGATATTTCACATTTTTAGTCATGCTGGCGCTTTAAGACAGCAGGATCTTGATGTCTGAAGGAGGGACTAGGGCCCTGCATTTCTAGTCTGACGTGTGCATTAAGAGATAGGGGTTAGGGAGCGTGCAATTTGGAAAGGATGGGGAAGAGGGTAGTTCCGTGCTGCAAAACGCAATGTTTCGACTGTGGAATCTTCCTTGAGTGTTCGGTTCCACGGCCCGACGCGTTCATTGTGTCGCTGTTTCTTATATGATTTTCGCGTGAAATGGACCTACTTGTTCCGTATTAGGCGTGGTAAAAAGAAACACAACACAAGGAAGATAACCGGTTTTTCGTACTGCGGGGCTAATAGTTGGGGCAGGGTTTGGAATTTCTTCTGCCTTTGTTGTAAGGATTCGTGTGTGGAGTGACGTTTTTTTTTGCTAAAGTATCTTCACAGAGGTTTGCGACCACGCCTACATGGTTGTGGACTCGAAACGCCTGGTTTTTCAGTGAGGCTGGTAGGTGGGAGGACTCAGGAAGTTGACAAGGAAGGAAAAGAGCCCTCGTACGTGTGAAAGGTCGTGGGCACCGCGTACAGTCATCACATGTAAAACGTTTCGCTTATTTTGTGCTTCTTTGTTTTGTCATGAACAGGACCCAGTTGAAGCGTTCGAAAATTTTGAAAATGGCCCTTATGCAGTCTGATTCTTTGGACCAAGAAGGAAAAACGGATTCTTTCTTAATGAAAGCCATTAAAATAGCCTTAGTGGTTGCTCTTTATTGGTTCATATCAATTACCATGGTTTTTCTAAATAAATACCTTCTGGACAGCCCTGCCTTAAAACTGGACGCCCCTCTGTTCGTGACATTTTTCCAATGCTTCGTGACTGTGGGGCTTTGCTGGTGTATGAGTCTGCTGTCCAGGTTGTGTCCGACGTCTGTGGAGTTCCCGTCTGTCAAACTCGACCTCAAGATGTCCAGAGAGATCCTGCCCTTGTCTGTTGTGTTCATCGGAATGATCACATTCAACAACCTGTGCTTGAAATATGTCGGGGTGGCATTCTACAATGTTGGGAGATCGCTGACCACTGTATTCAACGTGTTAATGTCCTATTTAATTATCAAGCAAACCACGTCTTCCTATGCCTTACTCTGCTGTGGAGTCATAATAGGTACAGTATGCTGTTCTTATTTATTTTCTTCGTTCTTTATTTTATCACCTGCTTTTACTGGAGGCGCGCTGTCACGTTAGACACACAGTGTCCCGTAATGGTAAATTATTCTGCAGGCAGTCTTATTGTCTTCCTTTGGAACAAGGCTTCATATAAGTGATTAACACGCAGACATGAACGTACTTACTAAATAAAACACTTTACAATGTGAATCCAGCACGTTGTGTCAACCAGCACAGCTCTGAAGTAAGGTACTCAGGCTGAAAACTGTCCAAGTATGTTTTGCATCTACTCTTTATATATTTTGCCTGTTATAAATATATATTGGTATACAGAAAAAGTCATTACCATTTAGAAAGTTATTGAACTAATGATTTTAATAAAAAATTGTTTTAACCAATGATGTGCTCTTGGGTCTTGAAATCATTTGTCCTTAACCTTTTTTGATTAATAAAATCATAAACTCACTGTTCAGCATTAATCCCTTGGCTGAAGCTCTGCAGGATGATTCCTGCTTTTCCAATAGTATTGATTTCTGAAGAAATAAGTCCAGTAAATTTGACAACAAAGACATAGAATTCAATTAATTTTACATAAATCAAACAAAAGTAAAACGGTGCTTGATTATAAATCTTCCTCGAACGCTTAAATATTTGTTGTTGTTTTTAAACAGGAGAACTTTTGTGTGCAAGAACTAGGTTGTGAGCATCATCTACCACTGGAAGCTTTTTTTAAAAATCTTGTAGCAATTCTACATTAATGGCTATACAAGCCATAGTCATAGCTGTGCTTCAAACTGTAAGCGCAAACTGTATGTGGAGGGCAAAGGTAACCCATAACCTAATTTTTTTTTGTTCTCCTTGTTTCTGCACAGGAGGCTTTTGGTTAGGTGTGGATCAAGAAGGGGCAGCCGGGTCACTGTCCTGGACAGGAATCATGTTTGGAGTTCTTGCCAGCCTGTGCGTTTCACTCAACGCCATCTATACCAAGAAAGTGATGCCGGTCGTGGATGGCAGCATATGGAAACTAACCTATTATAACAACGTCAACGCCTGCTTCCTGTTCATTCCCCTCATTGTGGTCTTTGGGGAATTTAAAACACTCTTCTACTTCGACAAATTAGACAGCTGGTACTTTTGGGGTATGATGACCTTGGGAGGGGTCTTCGGCTTTGCTATTGGCTATGTCACTGGCCTTCAGATTAAGTTCACAAGTCCATTGACACACAATGTGTCAGGCACTGCAAAGGCTTGTGCTCAGACAGTCTTGGCTGTTATCTACTCTGAGGATACCAAGAGCCTTTTGTGGTGGACTAGCAACCTAATGGTATTGGCTGGCTCTTTTGCCTATACCTGGGTCAAAGGACTGGAAATGAAGAAACTTCAGCAAGACCCACAGACTAAAAGCACTACTGCCAAAAATGACTCAGGTATTTAGAGTGCAGACCAGGAGCCATATATGTGATGTGAAACATGTGATGAGTCTCCAAAGTGCTTTTTGGATCTTTTCTATTGTGAATTGTACAACTGATGCTCAGACTGCAAGAAGGAAAAGCCCTGGCATCAAACTGTGGATGAAAAAGAAGATTTCTGAACTGTTTAAACCTGTTTGTTTGTTTTGTAGTTGTAAAATTACTTTAGCTAAAGAAAAAAAATATTTTTTAAGTTTCTTTAAAAGTCTGTAAATAAAGAACATTTTAAGAGGTGTGTAAGATATCTCTTTATTTTAATGACTAGTTGTGTAATATTTCTGTCCAAGCAAAGTAATAAATCAAATATCTAAAACGAACCTTGAAAAGTACGAGCTGTATTGTACATTATTTTACTCAAGTGATTGAAATGAATCTTCATCATAACATAATACAAAGAAAAAAATAATTAGGACATTGATCATCTTTGCCAACAGAGCCCCCTTATATCACGTTCCTGGTTTTTGTGTATATATATACTCACAGATGCCCCTCTGCATGGTGCACAGCTGCTTTGATGGAGGGAGTGGTAAAGCTGGTAAGTGGGTCTGAGGCTGCCAGATGGTCTCGGTGTGTTACTTAGTCACCAGGCCCCTCCTGGACAGGAGGTGGTTCCTGCTGCCTTCACACCTCCCATGGCTCCATCCCTGGCAGGAATGGGGGTGCCCTCTCTCTGACGGCCTCAGCAGTTGGAGACGTGTAGGATGCAACCCTGGAAATGAAGGTGAGCCCCACGTCCAGCCAGTCCTACAGGCAGCCTTCTCCCTCCTGTGCTCCCGGACCTCGATCTGAGCCCAACCCCCAGCCAAGTTCACAGAAGTTCTCCCTGGTGTTGAGAGAGTGACTGCAGCTATCCTGGCTAGTGGAACCGCAGCACTGTCATTTCATCTACCTGATCCTGTTGGTTCCCCCCTCGGTGACCACATGGCATCCCTGTAGTCCTGGATTTCCTGGATGGGCTTCAGTCCTCCTGGGAAAACCTGGTATCTGCCCCTGTGAGATCACTGCGATTCAATGTGTTAATTTACACTGCCATCATTAGGTCCCCAATGTATCTCAACAAAGTGCCGAATGTCACAGTCTCCTTTATGAGACATTGGGGTTGAAGGCTTTTGCTGTTAATGTGGCCAGTGCTTTACTGAATCCATCTCACACTGGCCTGTGTTATTGTGGGGATGATGGGTTTCACCTTTAACAAACTACAGACTAAACTGTTACCCTGCCCATCTGACATGATTTAGTGCACAGGCACCAGTGTTAAATCTGAAACATCATTTCTAGAATCGAAGATGTCATATCCACACATTATTTCAAAGACCATTAGACAAGGCAGAAAAATGCTAGGTGGATCACCACAGTTCAGTACTAGATGTGTGATTTATTTTTTAGCTTTTTGGATGGTATTCTAGACCTTACACAAGTATGTAAATTGAGGACTGGATAAAAAAAACTTTCCAAGGTAGTTCGCTAAATTGTTTAATTAAGTATTGTCCCATTTTAGTGATGGTATGTTTTAAATTAATTTCCAGCATGCTTCACTGAAGTAATATTTAAAATGTGTAACACTGGACACACCAGACACATATGCATACAGTATATAGTGATTCAGAATCCCAAAAGATTATTTTAATGAGTAATAAGTTTCACGAGCTTCATGTAGTTTTTAAGCTGTATTTATGCTTTTTTAAAATCCTATAAAGGGGCTTTCACTCACATGAACTCTTTCTATACTGCTTTGCTATGGGCAAAATACAAAAACGATAAACATAGTTTGAGCAAAAGCAGCTGTCCAGATCAAAACTACACTTTAATCATATCATTTAAGGAGAATAATATTAATTTCTGCAGAAAAAAATATTCAGCTCTGATTTTAAGCTCCATATTCCCAAATCCTCAATTAGTCAATATTGAATATAGAATCTGAGTATATAATTATAGAAACCACAAAGAAACCAGTTATAATTGTGTCTGTTATTTTAAGCTTTTGAATGATTGTTTACACAGTATTGCTGTATATTATGATGGATTTTAGTTATTGATTTAAAAAAAAAAACTTGAGGGCCATAGTCTAATTTGTGTATCTTCCCCACAACATTATACTGTATTTTACCAAGGGAAATACACTCTGTATGTTTAACATTAAGAAAGTACTAGTCTTTGTACAGAGATGCAACCTTATGATAACTGGAAAATAGTTCATTAGAATGACCCCAGTAAAAAAAAGACCTGTTTTTATTGTATTTAATAGGGTTTGTGAAGTCATATTAGGTCGTAACTTGTACAAAACGATGCCTGCTTCTGTAACATAAAATCGCTAGGTGTCATAGTAGAGTTGCTGAATTTCAAATAAGAAACCATGACCTTACTCATAGTTTAAGTATACAGTACTATGCTTAGAAATTTCTGGATAAAATGGTACCCTATTAGGTTTGACCGCTCGCTAGAGCACATTTACGGTATGTAAAACAGGATAAATAGTCGTCTGTATCAATCAGCCTATTTTATTTTTTAATTTGAAATAAAAACAAAACCCGAGTGTTTTTACGATTTTGTACTTCACAACACACAATACGCACATCATATTTCACTGTCGTAAGAAAACCCGCCTTATATAAGAGCGCTAGGGTAAGTCACGTAACTGCCAGACAACGTAATGTACTGTCCGTGATGAGACGATTCTTCCAGCATTTTTTCCCTACTTTATTTCCGTTCCCAGGTTAATTCCAACAACACACCAGAGAAACGTGACGGGGCGTGTCCTACATGTGATCAACAACCAATCGATTAGGAACTGGGCGGAAACTTGTTGTAATAGTCTGAACACGTGTCACCTGTAAGCCAATAGGCGTTGCACTCGGAGGGAAAGGCTCCAGTTCAGCAACATTGACTGTGCGCAAACTTGTGGAGGTGGAACAGCTTGGCAGTTGAAATCACTTTTCAAGCTTAATATGGACTCTTTTCGACGGAATTCTGGTTAAAGATTGTGACTGGTGTTTTCTTAAGGTTTGCAAATCGACATCATGGTGGTGAATTCCGTGCACTGGTTCCGCAAAGGGCTGAGACTCCATGATAATCCGGCTTTACAGGAAGCTTTGAATATTTCGGACACAGTGCGATGTGTTTACATTTTGGATCCCTGGTTTGCTGCATCGGCTAATGTAGGAATCAACAGATGGAGGTTTGTCTTTTATGCTACGTGATTGCATCGTGTGTCCCATTCAGTGCGTTAATGGCGTTCTAGTTTGAATCAGCTTAGTTTTCTAAACATTTGTGTGTCACGCCAGAGTCGTCACTGCTCGTGTTGGAAACACATGAACGTGGTTTGTGCAGTATCACAGAGCAGAGGCATACGGGGTGTCCGTGTCTTTTTCTGTCCACTTCCAGAGGTCACTGCATGGCGAATATTATTACATCACTGTAAGGCCATATGACTGCTCTTGCATTTAGGTGAACCTTTTGCCAAAATGAAACTTCGTTTCCATTTGTCTTGGCAACAATGTACATTGCAAGTAGGAATGGTTACATGTGTTTGCGTCCTGATTAGGATAACCCACTGACCTTTATCACGCAAAGTTATGCAGTGACTTGCAATTTTCGTGATCAGTGTTACCTTTTAAGATCTTCATTTTGTACTATAGTAACTAGTCTTGTTTAGTTTTCAGATATTTGTAAATAATTTGACGGGTTTGAATACAAATCACTTAGGATTTTATATTGAGAATGCCGTCCCAGTAAACCTCTTGCAAGTTGATAATGCTGTCATTTCATTTCTGAATCCAGAGAAATAATTTAGGGATATAAACTATCGCAGTCCCTCCTGACCACCTAATAATTATGTTGTGAAGAGAATGGATGGAGAAATGTCTCAATGTCTGAAAAAAGACTCAAAACAACAGCAGAACCACAGCAGGAATCGATTACAGAGATCTGGGAACAAGTTCAGCTAAATGGATTAGTTACCCTCAGTGCCTGAGAACCCTGTTGTCCAAAAACTTGATGAGATGGGGTTTTCCCAAGACCAGGGTTGGAAACCACTGAGGAGCAGGAAAGCTAAAGGATGGCAGTGGTCATGTGAAATGTGACTGAATTATTTTGCAAAGTAGACAATTTGCTAGTTATCTCAAGGGTTTTAAAGATCCTTTTTACTCGACAGTTTAGGCTAACTTTATTCTCTCATTTAGATTCCTCCTTGAATCATTAGAGGATCTGGACGCCAGCCTGAGAAAACTGAATTCCCGACTGTTTGTTGTGCGAGGGCAGCCAGCAGATGTGTTTCCCAGATTATTCAAGGTAAGCTCTGTCGTTCTGTCTCTCTCATGATATTGACATTCGTTCCATTTTTATCTGCTGACTGTGCTCATTGAACTTTTGCACACATTGAAATCTGTCTACTGTAACTATTGTCGATTTACATTATGGTAGTTTTACTGCAGCAGTCCGAATGAAGGGTATTTCTCAAGGGTAGAGCAGTACACATCTGGGATTTGAACTCACAACCTTCCAATTAAGAGCTAAATTCCTAACTACTATTCCTGCATGCATCATTTATTTTGCTCTTAAGAAGTAGGGTAAATTTCAAGGAATTCAACTGAAATAATATGTACTTAATATTCTGTTTAGTAGTATTTTTTGATTTTCTTTAATGTATTACAATGCATCGTTCATCATGGAGATTCCTAAATAATCTTTGTAAGTAGTTTTATTGTTCTGTAAATGTCTTTCGTGAAGACTGTTCTAAAATGTGAATAAGTGTTTTTTTCATCTGGGTTTGGATCTTTACTACTAACTGGAGTCACCGAGGTCATTAGGAGTTCATTTTTAATTAGCTTAATTTGAAGAGTGTTGCTGTTGGTCTGTGACGGCATGCAGAGTATTCTTTTACTATATTTAATGGGAAATGTTCACGTTAATGGGGAAATAAAGAGTTCCTTTTCAGCATCTATTGACTCTGTCCTTTTTTTAATAAGATAAAGCTCGATATTCATCAAAATTTGCTCACAATTTCTTTGAGAATGATCTTCATCATGAGGGACATGGAGTTCTTAGTGATATTTCAATATCTCAAGAAAATGTGATATGATATAATCTTTTGTGACAGTATCCACTCTTCACATTTCACTTTCATCAAGATCAAGCCTAATGTGTGAAGTTATTGAAGTTCCTTGTCATGAAATCAATATCCTCAGCACATGTCTGTTTGAAGAGGCTAGTAACATTTTCTGCTGCTTCTGCTAGGGAAATGAACTCATGAAAGTGTTTTGCTTAGGTTCTGTTTTTGAAAATTGCTTCAAAGAAGATTCATTTTAGCAATATATTTAAATACTTAAGAAAATTTCTAGATTTAATCATACAATTAAGGCTTTCTAGTTTTAGATTTAAATGGCAATTTCACTGTTGAGTCATTCCTAATTAAACGATAGCTTTTTTGGCATGATTTATAAGACTGATTTTGAAAAAGCTTTTAGCTATGCATTATGAAGGAGCAGAACTATTATGTGCTTTTATCTGTTTTTCTCCATCATTATGAGATGTCTCACTCTTGTGTTAAAAGTCACAGTATTTTCCCTTTCAGGAATTTCTGGTGCTTGTGTATAGGAAAAACAGTAAAGATTCATTCCATGCTGAAAAGAGAAGAAAAGAAACGCAACATTTCAGCTGTGAAGCCTTCTTTGAGTCCATTGGGTAAACAATGGACATTTTTTTAGTACAGACTGCAAAATATTTCTTCATAGCATTTGTTACATATGAGTAAAATCTTATGTTGTGAAGAGGAATTGTTTGATTAGGAAGGAGTTCTCTTACGAACCTCTTTCAGGTTAGCACAGGCCAAATGAATAGCTCTTTTAATGCCCTTCACATAGCAAAAATAGCTCAAGCATGTTTATAGTTTATGAATGATGAAAAATTACTTAAACCACTCTTAATCGGATTTTGTTTCAGAATACCAAAAATGTCTGACCTGTTTATTTTCCTTTTTGCCCTGCAGGAATGGAATGTAACACACCTGACTTTTGAATACGACTCGGAGCCGTTTGGGAAAGAGAGAGATGCTGCGATCATGAAGCTGGCACGGGAGTCAGGAGTGGAAACAATTGTACAAGAATCCCATACGCTGTACAGTTTAGACAGGTGAGGCAATGCTGAAAGTAGCAGTTTCGTATTTTATTTCTCAAGAAAATTGTTGTGTTAGTGTACAAATGCAGCCATTTGATTTAAATAATGAAATGAATTGCTTAATATGTGGTTTTGCTTTGTTTCTGTTGGGGCAAAAAACAATTTTGCATCAAGCTATATGTATGTACAGTTCAGACAAAAGTTAGTAAAAAAGATTAATTTGGTCTCTGACAAGTTAAAATTAACTAAATGCTGAAAATAGGTTATTGACACTTTGTGACCATGCAAAGGGGCTTTAGTGGTTTCTGAAGTAATTAGATTCCTTCAAATATTTTCACCTGCAGCTGTGAACATGCTGCTGCAGAAACTGTAATCATCATGAAAAGCAATTAATGTTTTTTTTTTCTGGAATTGTTTCTCCAACTAGTAAAACCAGAGTGATTATGAAGTCTTTTGTAACCTGTGTCAGTGTGTATACTTGTAGAAGGTTATTAGGAATACCACCCAGGAAAGATAGATATCTGTATAAAAGATGGAATTCCTAGTATAAACAGCAATTGACTGGTTTTGTGAGAGAATTGAAAGGCTGGTTTTGAACCTAGTAAAAATCCAAGTATGAAACTGTTGTTTGTTCTTACTGAAAGTATGTGAAATCACGAGAGCCTTTCACCCTTCTCTGTAAATATAATTGATTAAAGTAGACAGCATGTGTCATGTAACCTGTATATGTGAGATGTTATTTTTTTATATGATGTCTTCAGCTGCACATAGTTTCTATTCCAGTCCTTTGTATTTGTGTCTAATGGAGGCGATGCTACCACCTAGTGGTGCGCTGCACTAATTATCAGGCACACTACCCAACATGTGCAGACAGTGGGTGGTGGAATAGCTGTGCTCTACAGTCACCATTGCAAACATGTGCCTTCAGGAGCGTGCAGCCATGCAGCACTAGGCACATGTAAGCCGCCTGAGACAGGGCATTCTGGCAGGAAATGACAGAATGGGAGTGGTTAACTGGTTACCGATATAGATGGAGTTGCATAAGCTGAGGGGGTGGATCTGATCTTTTTCTGCTGTTCATTAGTTCCATGCACCCCATTTATCTCAGAATTCTTTTGTCAGAAATAATTGTGAGCTTTTTTTCTTTTTTTATCCCATGTTTTGTTTCTTTCTCTCAGTAGAAATACTTCAGACCATGAAAAGAAGTATTTCTTGTTAAGTAAAGAACGTGCCATGCAAATTCAAATTTAATTGAAATACTGAGTACTTGTGAAATAGGAAAAAATGATGACTTGTATAGATGTCTTCTGGAAGTTCATGATTTTTACTAAATGCATTTTAAAAGGAGAATAGAGAAAACTACAGTGGAGCTTGTTACAAATAGTAAGGGGAAATTAAGAAAATAATTATAGGGAATACTTTTGAATTACAGTAAATATTTTGTATTCTTGTGTCTTGTGTCTGCAGAACATGATAGGAATAACAGGTATTTTTCTTTTTGTACAGCATTTGTTCTGCATCTAACATTGAAATGGAATTAGTCTTCTATAAACCTAGCTAAAGATTGATTGTGGAATCTAGCATGGGTTCATCCTCAACATCTAATTGGTACTTTTGTTTTATTCTTTCCCAGGATAATCGAGTTAAATAATAACAGTCCTCCGCTCACATTTAAGCGATTTCAAGCCATTGTCAGTCGCTTGGGGCTTCCAAAGAAACCCCTGGGGACAGTGACCCCCCAGCAGATGGAGAGATGTCACACTCCCATCTCCGAGAACCATGACGAATGCTACAGAGTGCCAACTTTGGAGGAGCTAGGTGAGACTCTGAATGCATTCAGCTTTTAGAAGCAGTGTGTAAGCCCTCCAGGTTAACGAAGGGACTAGAATTTTTTTCTCCTCCGATGTTAAAAATAATTAATTCTTTCGTATTTTAAAACCGGTTTAGAGATATCAGTGCTTGTCTGTTTTCTGAAGTCTCCTGATTTAACATTGTCAATCTTTAAAGCAGTCTGGCTTACTCCAGCAGTCAGCATGCCACATGGGGATAATGTGGACCCACTCTCCTTCAACAGGCCCACCAGCCCCGACCATTCATTATTTGAAATGCTGCAAGCATTTCTGCAGTGCCTCGCAGGAACATTGGCCGTGAACAGAGGAGAGGTGTCTCTTGCTGACAGCAGTGCCCATTTTCAGGATCCTGGCAAGCTCCAGGGATTGCTGTTTGAGCTGCAAGCCGATGGCATTTTGGGCTGACTAGGGCACACCCACCCCTGTTGGTAGCCGGCCAGTTATCTGCTGCTGCTTGAGTCATCGTAGGTTAATGACAAGCTGAAAGTGGCAATGTCTGGACCGAAGGGCTCAACCTGCACTCTGAGCGCCCTTCCTCCACCTTTACTGCTTGATCTAGTGGGATTTTGTCTGTAACTTAGGGTGTGCTTTTTTATAAAATATACATGCGCTTACAATAAAAAACATGGAGTGCATACTAGGTCTTCATTAAAATTTCAGTTCAGACTACAGGCCATGGAGAAGTAAGACTAGGTTTCTTGTCTTCCAGGATTTAAGACGCATGGACTCAGTCCATCCATATGGAAAGGAGGAGAAACAGAGGCTGTAAGACGACTAAATAAACATTTAGAGAGAAAGGTGAGCTGCTGTGTTTCTACCATGCTAATATAGCAAGTGAAAAGGAAGTTCGTGCATTTACTTTTGGCTCAAGTTATAGAGGTTTTTTTATACAAAATTTAATACTAGAATAACCTAGAGGCTCTGGCTAACCTGGAGCAGCGAATTTCAATTAATTGAATTTCAAGGCCCACATACAGGTGATCAGTAAATGTACAGGAATGTATGTTGTACAAATAAATCTTTGAACAAGTGAAGATTCGAGACTTTTTGTATCTGTCAAGCTTCAAAATGCCATGTACAACTGTAGAATCTCCTATGACATTTTGTACATTTTCATGTTTTCCTTTGCATTGAACAATTGTAGCGAGATGAAGGCCCATAATAAAAGACTGAACTTTCCTTGTTTTTTCTTTCAGGCCTGGGTCGCAAGTTTCGAAAGGCCCAAAATTAATGTGTATTCGCTGATTGCCAGTCCAACGGGTTTGAGTCCGTACCTGCGGTTCGGCTGTGTATCATGTCGTCTGTTTTATTACAGCCTGTTAGAGCTGTATAAAAAGGTAAGTTTTGCTTTTTCTATAGACGTGTGGTTCACTCAAGTTTTTAGTCTTATGTCATAAAATGATTCAAGGAAAATATTTTTTGCTTTGTTGAAAAGTGAGACTAATAGGAAGTGGAATAAACGATGATTGGATCAATTAGCTACTAATTACCAAGTGGAGTAGATGAGCAAAATGACCTTCCTAGGTTTCTAGTTTCTTCAAGTCTCACCTTTGTAAACCTTCTTATTTTCTAAAAAGACTTTTCCTGTGTTAGAACTAAGAATGAATCATCACAGATGTGCCTTCAGGGTGTCCTTCACTTTAAGTTGCTAATTGTTTCATATAACTGTTGCATTTGTTTCCATGTTGTACTTTTTATGGAATAGAAGTGTTTGTTTGACACATTAATCACACTTACATTCTATAAAAGAAGACAGGGTTATTGCTGGTGTAAATCTTTCACAGCCTGTGCCTCATATGAAGAATCATGTCTTAATATTCTTCAGGATGAGTATAAGTGAAGATAAATCAATAGTTACTGCAGTGACGTTTTAGTATATTGTGCACAGTGAGTTGTATCTGATATAGAATATTTATTAAGCATTTATAGTAAGACTTACAGTTTTTCTTCTGGTATCTCAAATAGGTCAGAAAGAGTAGCAGTCCCCCTCTCTCGCTATTCGGACAACTGCTCTGGAGGGAGTTCTTCTACACAGCAGCTACGAATAATCCCAAATTCGACCAGATGGAAGGGAACCCAATCTGCGTGCAGATCCCCTGGGACAGGAATCCAGAGGCTCTGGCTAAGTGGGCCGAGGGACGGACAGGTTACCCCTGGATCGATGCCATCATGACCCAGCTCCGGCAGGAGGGCTGGATCCACCACTTAGCCCGGCATGCGGTGGCCTGTTTCCTGACCCGGGGGGATCTGTGGGTCAGCTGGGAGAGCGGCATGAGGGTATGGGAACCGCAGTATCGGCAGTCTGTTGGGTCCTTGACTTGCTGACTTGATCTGATGGTTGTGTTGATTCTGTACGTATGAGGTCTGGCTATTTTTAAATCACAGCTAAGACCATGATCCTGAGAGGAGATTTGATTGTGTACAAACTGGTAGAAGGGTGAAAGAGCACAATTAAAAGTGCCACATCTTCTCTCAAGTCAGTTGTGATGGATCACTAGTGTTGTGTTGCCCATGAGCAGATTTTACGAAGGTATGTGTCCGCTGTGGTTTTGTCAGCAGGTTTGGGGAGGCAGTTAAATGTCTTTGGGCAATGGTGTTATCAGAGCATTCAGGCTGTGACAGAGTACCAAAAATGTATTTTGTTCCTTTCAAAAATAGATAATACCCTTAAAAAAGGTAGTAGTTGACCAGAAAAAAAAAACAATAAAATGTGGCAAAGAACAGTGACGTAACAGCAAAAGCATATTATAAGATCAGAAAAACGGAGAAAGGCATAGTACAAAAATTAGGAAAGTAAATATGTGACATACTGTAATTGTGGTTTATCCATGCAAAAACTATGGAACTGTCATGCAGCCTTCTATGATAAACTTTCATAAAGTAATGGAGCAAGTTATATAGTGCAGCTCCATTGTAAGAGATAAAAACAGGTATGTTTTGCTTATGTTATGGTGTGTAAGTTACATGCATTTTTAGTTACCGTGTGGGTGATAGTTTGTTTTTCTTAACCAGGTCTTTGAGGAGCTGTTACTGGATGCGGATTTCAGTGTCAACGCAGGGAGCTGGATGTGGCTGTCATGCAGTGCCTTTTTCCAGCAGTTCTTCCACTGCTATTGCCCTGTTGGCTTTGGAAGAAGAACGGACCCCAGTGGAGACTATATCAGGTGATTTGGGGGAAGGGATTTGATTGGGATTATAGATTTTAATAGACACCTTGCATCTAGGTTTAGGTAAGAATTAACAGTAGATCATCACCAGTAAAAGTGGTCAGCCAGAGTACTGGTTGTTTATTCTAGCACACATCACTGGCATGAGCCTGGGGTGTTAGTCGACTGGGACTGTGGGTGGGTGTGTTTGAAGCATCACTGATCATTATTCAGCTGGTGCACTACAGAGGTGGTTGCCATAAAGTAGTTTTTTTAGCAACAGCCAGTTCCATCCAAATTGGGCACGTGAGTATAGTAATTAACCATAACTAACACTGGCAAACTAAAAAAGAGAGGATAACTTTGTAGCTTCTAACGTCACATAATTAAATCAATCCCCAGTTGCGGGTCAGTGTTTCACTTTGTACCGTGAACATGTCCTGCTTCTTACAAATGACAATTAAATCATGTTTGTCTTCATCACTAAGTGCATTTATAAGTGAATGATGTTTTAATTGTTTGGAATGGCATGAAAACAGTGGACAATATTGTGTTTCTGTCTTTTATAGACGCTATATACCAAAGCTGAAAGAGTACCCAAATAGGTACATTTATGAGCCATGGAATGCCCCAGAAATTGTGCAGAAGGCTGCTAACTGTGTCATTGGGGTAGACTACCCCAAACCAATGATCAACCATGCACAGGCCAGCAGGCTCAACATTGAACGTATGAAGCAGATATATCAGCAGCTTTCACACTACAAGGGACTTAGTAAGTCTGCCTTCAGCTGTAATAAAGAATTATTTTGTGCTACATTATTCTGAAACAAAATTGAGTTGCTTCGAAGTCAGCACGTGCTTTGTGCAGTGCACAAGAGGTTCCTTTTCAGCTTTCCTTTTCAGAAAACAAAGCCTTTTTTGTGGGCTAGACCACATCATTCATTAGAAATTGGAAACAGAATTGTTTTAATACTGTTTGAGGCAGCCATCTAAAGTGTAATTTTCCCTGTGTTTTGAATACCATAGACTTTTTTTGCAAAACCTTGCTGATAGAAGGTAACATCAGAAGCAGTTAATTTAATGTCTCACATCACTCGGGGGGAAAAAGGAGGAGTTGAGATTGGTACACTACTGTTAAACTAGTGCTAGGGGCTGTCAGATGTGTTTTCTGTGAGGCTGAGTGTTGCCTTATCGGATTTGCCCTGTTTCCAAACAATATTAACTGTTGAGTTCAATTTTTACATCCATTTATTGTTAATGGTGCAGGTTTTTCTATTGCTCTCCTTAATGTATTTACAAAGAAAGTCTCACCCAGTAATAAAACATTAGGCTTTAAACTTTTTTCGTTAGTTTTCTCTTTGCTAAATTGACCACACATTCATTAGTATCACATCTGAAAGGAAGAGAGATTATATACAGATAAATCCTAAAGATGATTGAGTCTTTTTATCTTAAAGTTCTTTCTGTTTGCTGTAGTGGCTTTGATGTTGATAAATCCTTAATTGAATTTGCCCTCACTTCACACTTAAATGGCATCTGCAAGTTATCCCAAAATCTTTTTCTATATCTTCAATCCTGTTCCCAGACAAAATGTAGATTCTTGCAAATCTTTCTTCATTTCAGTATTGCAGTTATTTCTTATGGATGCATTTGCTGAAAGCCTTTTTATGTTGTTACTGAGCTTCAGTATTTTCTGTTTAGGTTTACTGGCATCTGTACCATCCGTCCCTGATGATGCTAGGTCACCTGTAACAGACGATCCGCATGGACACAGCAGCAGTGGTAAGATTAATGTTATTACAATAATTGCTTCCATTTATAGAGCATTGTTCTCCCAAAGGATTTTTGCTTAATGTGTTACTGTATAAAGTGTTTCATTTATATCAGTATGTTTAGGATTCTCTACCACGAGTATGTATCTGTCAATCATGTATGGGTGGGGTTAAGAAGGCTTATAAAATTTCATATAATAAGTGTAACCTCAATTCATTTGAAAATACTAATTAAAATCATCGGCATTTATGTTCCAGCTCCATGTTCACGGCACCACAGTAAAAACACTAGCTGGAGGAAGAGAGAGAGACCCTCTGACCTGGAGAGCGAAGACAAATGCTCTAGGCCTAAAGTCCAGCGGCCCTGTGTCACCGGAAGTAGAGCAAATGACAAACCATAATAATGGGTGGAGGTAACAGCTTCTGTATTTTGGGCAACAGTATGCATTTCTCAGTATACTCACAGTACAACACACTGGTGAACATTAAACCAATACATTTAGTTCAAGATGAGCAGCCATGCTCCAAACAGACAAATGGGAAGTGAACAGTTCACTATTTAAGGCAGAAGGTGATAATTATTAGTGAAATCACATGTCTTCTGCATTGTCTTTCAGATGGGTGCAGAGAAATCAGTAAGATGGAACAAATGAAGGACTGGTAATCTGCTGTGTGCCCATAGTACCTGAGCTGGTATTTTTGAGCTGCATCCACATCAAAGGGTCATTTTCTTTTCTGTTATTTGAAAACCATGCAGCAAAAGAATATTGCCAACAGTTTTTCAAAGCTTCTGTACTCAAATTGTTATATAAACTCTGAATTGTGGAAGAAAACCAATTTTTCTGAAGTGTTGGTTACAATATTTTAATCAGCTGAGTACTTCTTGAAATTGGCAAACTGTTAGATACATTTCTGTCTTGTGTCCTTTTTTCAAATTTCCTTGATACCTTGTGAACATTCATGGGCTAAATTAGTTCTGTCACTGAAGCTAAGGCTACAATAGCTTGAGGAGAACATTTTGACACATATCTAGTTAGCTATGAAGCAAATTGCATTTTCATACAGCATCCAGTAAATTCTAGTTACAAGTGCCATTTTGTCTGCTGCCAAAGGTTTTAATAAATAAGCATGACTTATATCTCTAAAACAGGCATCTTATGTAAAATGCTCACTTTAGTTTGTCATTTTTGTTATCCATATTCATTCCCTATATGTGCTATGTTGCACAATTATCAGCCTTACTAATAAAATAATGATGCATAGCCTTAACAGTAAATAGGTTCCCCCCTTCACAGCCATTGTTTGAACTGTGATGTTCTTTAGCATAATCCCAAAGAAATTGCCATCTGTTTTGAACATCTTCAGATTTCATTCTATGGATGACTTTTTTTTAGATTTTGTACATCCTGTAATTTCAAGAAAATTAAGTTTAACATGGTTATTAATGAGAGCAATCTTGGTGTATGATGAGCATTGCTTTGTGATTCATATTTTAATTTATATATAATACAATGCAATAAATTGCTGTTTAATTTATAGGTAATTACTGCACTCATAATATGAAACATGCAGCAAGTGCTTAGCTTAAAGTCAATGAGTAAATGTTTAGTATATATGGAGAATGGATCCAAAAGCATCTTCCCATCAAAGCCACTATATATATATATGTGTATGTAATTCTTATGTAACCAAACTTCCATGTAATAAGAAAATGCAGATATTTCTTACTTGTGAAGCAAACTATTTTTATGCTGCCTATGCAGAAACATAGATTGCAGAAATGTCTTGATATTTCTGGGAGTCATCTTTATTCACCAGGAACTGAAAAGGCAATCTGAATTTCAAAATGGAATGAAATTGCTTGGTAGCTAAGTATTTACTGGAGCTGAGGAACCTGTGATAAGTTATACTAAGCAGATGTGCAGTGCTATAGCAGCTTCACACATGCAAGGATTAAACCTTCATTAATTCTATTAAATGTTTTACATAGCAATGGAAAATGGTTCATTTGTATTTGCAGCAGTTCTTTTGTTTTTGGTGGAGGTTGAAAGAAGTGAAGGAATTATTAAGAAAGCTTCTTTATATGAAGTGTTGTGCATAAATTCTGATTTTATTTTCAGTGGTTTCTAAATTGGCTGAACAATTTAAGTTTTGAGTTTTCCTGTAAATGGAAAAATCATATTAATTTTGACCTGAACTAAATAGGCCTTTGTTCTTTATTAACTCTCCACTATATAGCATGATGATGAAGGTAAAAGTCCTTGTACAAAATGTTAATTAAAAAATTCAGAAACCCACTTTTTGTTTAACGATTTTTGCCTTTCTCCCACTCATATAAAGTACAGTATTTCTGTTAAGATAGATTAATTCCTAGTAACACTTTGTATGTGAGAAAGTAATACTAATAAGTTATTTTGTTTTGTAATAAATCTTCTATTTGGTGAAAAGGTCAGCCTTTGTGACCCCCTAATCAAAATTAACATAAAGAACAGGCTGGCTTCATAAAAAGAAATAAAAGAGTAGCCTATAGAGAGAGTCTTCCATTCCTAATCAGACCATATTAACTCTGATGCACTACTTTTAATTAGAACACTTGAGGCCAATCATGTATAGAATTTCCAATGGTATAAAGTAATATGCTTTAATTTATACAGTACATGGGTGCCTTATCGGTGAACAACCCTCGATATTTATAAGTAGTTCTCGATATGTTTTGCAAGCTATATATATATATAGTTTTTCAAATATATTTAACTTTTGAATCATTTCAGGCTATTCCATCAGATGTTTTGTAGATTTATGTGGCAGCTTTGAAAATGTAGCACATGGATGAGTTCTGGGGCTCTAAAAAAGTATTAAGAAACCCTTTAATTATGCCAGAAGACTTCTGGAATAGACCTACTCTGAATCTGTGATCTTGATTACTTTAGGGCAGTGGTTCTCAAACTTTTTGGACCAAGTACCACCCCCGATCAAACCAAAGCATCTAAGCACCAACTACAAGTCATCTTCTCATAGGAACCACAGAAAATCTCAATGACTAACATGAGCCCGTACACACATACTCACACACATATAATACGAGTTGCACTGAGCACTTAGATAATTTGGATCATACCGGCTTGCAGCCATTTTCCGATGCCTGATAACACTAGCAGTGCTGTCTGTGTCAGGTTCAGCAGCCGAGCTAGTGTCGGAGGCCAATGTATAATTGAGGTATTAATTTTCGATCAATTGTTCTGTAGGCGAATGTGGCACTGTTGGGAGAAATTGTTCCCAATTTCCCCTTAAAAGACTGTGACAGTTTGAGAACCACTGCTTTAGGGAAAGCAATGTTGAACTTGACATGATGGGACAGTGGGTCAGAGGTTTGTCTGCAATGGGGAAGAGAATAACCAGTGTTTGGTTTTGTATGTCTTAACACATATTAATGTTCCTTTTAAAAGAAACTGCTATTCTCCAAACTTTGGTTTCCTGTCAGGTACTTTGAAAAACTGAAGCTTTATTTCTCCGTAGAGTTTAAATTACAACTAACCTTAAGCCATAATGATCATAATGAATTCAGATCTCTTGCGTTAAATTGCTTTCTGCCGATCACCTGTTTTAGCTTGTTTTCAACAAATAGCAAAGAAAAAGCTTTTTGTCAAATGTTAATGTGTGGCTTTCAGATTTTGTTTGTTCATTCTTCGTTTTCTAAATTGTGAAATGTTTGTATCATAAATCTCATTTTTGTTTGTTTTAAGAGAGTTTGTAAAGTGTAAAATACTTTTATTCCTAAAATAAAAGCAGCTTCTATGAGTAATCAGCAACTGATTCCTGTCTGTATCTTATACAGCTCAGACTTAGCATAAGGTGGATGAGGAAAGTTTGTGAGGTACATACTGTATCGTATTTGATCAGTGTTTTGTTCATGAGGCCAAGTGTCTGTCAGTTTGGCCTTCTATGACCCGGTATTCCTGTATACTGATGTATATACAATATGTTCTTTAACAAATATAATATGATTAAAGAATACAAGAGATAAGATATACAATATCTCAGTTTTCTTACATGCTCCTTGTATGATGTGGTTAAATAGAAAGTAAAATAAAAGTTTAGATAAACAACATGTTTGTGCAAGTCAAATGGGGCATTGTCATTTTATAATAGTAAGATACTGTAGTTAAGTTCTAGTTGCATTACATAAGCAACTTTTGCTGTTTTACTGTGTGTAGTTTTATTTGGGGTGTGTTTAACAAAGCTTGATTACAGATTTGAATTGGAAAGCTTAGATTAGTTTCCAAAATTGTGATTGATCCATGGGTGCAGTTCCTACAGGGCTTTCAACAGAAATGTACAGTCAATACCTTTTTGCCTGTAATGTGTAGTGTTTCTCACTAGAGGTCTCCTTTTCATAATAAAGTTATGCAACAGCTTAATCAAAAAATGATTTTTAAAAACAATTATATCAGAGTGTGATGTCTTTATCTTATCTTATAATGGCTAAATGGCAGTATTTTAGTCTTTCTTATGAAAAGACAGTAAATTAGCTTTCTTGGACCAGGTCCTGCCAATTATGATCTCCAGTTTCATTTGCACAAGCTAAACAAAAAGGCATCACGTACACATTTGCTCTTAAAATTGAATAAGGCATGTGTGAGAAAAAGAAATGACACCTAGCACTTTAGATTTTGTCTGCAGCTACAGTACATGGAACTATTTCAGTAGGAGTGGTATTGTAGCGTATTACAGAAGGGTTTGTTTTTGCTCTGCTTCTTATTGATTCGTTATAGAACCAATTACCCCCAGCAATTTTCTTTATCCATATAATTCCCTTGGACAGTTTACAAAACTCAGGTTTTTGTTTCAGTTATTGGAAAGTCAACTTATTTTCTCTTGTAGCTCAAGTAGGGAGCTGCATCAGCAGGCATAGGCTGCAAAGGAACAAGTGCAGGCTTATTCCATGTTGAAAAGAGAAGAAAAGAATCGTTTCAGCTGTAGAGCCTTCTTCAGGTGTTATTTTCTCTTGTACTGTGTATTTTAATAAGGTGTCCATGGCTCCAATTAAGTGCTCCGGGATCTGCTGTTCACGCAGAATGTTGCTCTGGTGGACTAAAGCAGCTGAAACGTTTATGGGAGGATCTGTGTGTAAGCACCGGTGAGCCGCTGTTCCGTACATGGCCTCAGGAGCTGCTCCGCTCACTTGAAAAGAGAGCACTTTACTGCATTATGCACCGATTCTAAAACATTTAGAAGAGGGCTCGGGGAAATTACCCTTCCTTCTGCAAGGTGCCGAAAGTCAAGCCAATTAATAATCCACAAAGGGACTGAGAGGAGTGGTATCTGTGAAAATCATGGGGAAGATTAAATTGCATCCTAGATGTTATTGATGTGCTCTTATGGTGTATTAGAAGTTTTGTAAAAAACAACAAAATGGGGGTATCCACTGCTACCACTGGACTTGAACAGACCTAAAACCTTTAGGTATATGACTCCCTTGTGACTCTATTCTTTATAAATTGTTCTGCCTTGAATTGAATCACTATCAGTCCAATATCGTTCTGTACCTTGCCATGCCTTTGATGAGCAACAGTGTAAACAGTCTGGACAAGAACAGGATAAGTCCATTGACATCTGTTACTATGCATTAGTATCATCTTCTCACTTAGAAGCATGAATAAATACAGCAATATTCTACAATTGTCTTCTGTCAGCAACTGAAAACAGCAGTGAGATCTGTGAAAATCAGCTTTGCAATGAAGTATCAAAAAATGTTGATACCCTTTATAACCGATTTTTAGCCTGACTTGATTGTTTAGATTGTTATCATAAATAGCATTCAATAGAAAAAATGCTGTCTCTAATTTTATGTGATAAGCAGAGTAAATATAAAACTGGGCACTTTGCAGCATACACCATACAGCTCTTTTCTTCTGTTATTTTCCAAAAATATGTTTTTTAGGGAAAGGCTGACATTAAAACAGATTGCATGAGTTTCCCAACTTGCAGGTCTGCGGGAGAAATAAGGACAAATTCATCTGGGCATTTTAAATTAATATTTTAAAAATTCCATTAGAATTTATCCTGAAATTAGGTTACTAATTCCTCTATATCTCATTAACGCTGCTTAAATTTATGCAAAAATGTCCGTCCTTTCATGTTGACTACAGTTATCCTGCAAATTGAAAGCTACCTGGATTATTCATCATCTAAAATTCAATTGGCTGTAATTATCTAAAGTGCCTCAGCAAAAATGTAGTATTTGGGAAGGACATGGCTTAAACTGTTAGAAGGAATCCATAAAATAATTCCTTGCTGTTGCTGTATATACTGTAGCAGTTATTATGCCAGTGATCCCAATGTACAATACATATAGGATGGGACCCACTTTCTCTTCATTGGATTCTAAAACAAAACTCCACATCGAAAGAGCCTCAGGCAAGAACTGAACATTGGAACCAAGTGCTTCTCTAGTTGAGAGTGCTGTCATGCAGCAGTCCTACTGTAACGGCCATGCCACCACACTTCTGTCAGTGGAGAAAACAGATTCTAAAAATAAGGCATTCCATAGGTATATACTGTATTCAGTGCTGAGAAAACATCAGATCAGCAGCTTTTATAGCATCTGTACATTCATCTCATGTGAAACTCTTCTGAGATACAGGTTATTTCCCGCAATTTATAAGTTTAGAATGACTTATGTTCAGTACATTTCACATCAAACAAATTATTAAAATGATGGCCTCCGTTTTGCTGTGCAAAGAAATGTTGTCATTCTTTTTCTGCCCCTGGTTGTTGTTGGACCACCTGGATGATGATGACTTTTTTAAAGAATTTTGTAGGTTGGCGGAACAAATCTTGTCTTGAATTTGCTTAATACCTGTAGGAGAACAAATACTTTTTTTTTCAAATGTACCTTTCACCTAAGCTATTGCTTAGTGAAAATGCTTGTTTTAATGAAAATACATTTTACATGCTGAGCTGGTTTGCATTCACTCTTTTCCTTTTTCGCTTAAAAGGAAAGGTTATTAAAACACATGCTATATCTGCTGATATCTGGCATGTCAGCGGAATGACTTTTGTCGGACCAGACTGACGTATCTTTCTTGTGTTTCAGGCTGTTGTGTGTTTCTAAAGCCCAGCAGGTACTATTGTACAGTATACCACAGCATTTGTTTAATGTACCTTGTTCTTTAAAGAAAATGATCTTTCTGATATATAATTCAATTTATTGAACAGTCATTACTCATACAGTATCACATGATAATTGATTTGTAAACCATGAAATACAACATAAAGGGTGTATTAGTGCATTGGTGCATTCATTCAGGCCTGCTGCAATCATGTTATGAATAGATTCAGGGATCACAACTCACCAGTCACACCAGAAGGGGCGTTATGGACAAGCTCGGAGATATGAATGGGCTGTTTCCCTGGTTACAAAGCACAGTGCAGGGGTAAATAGGCCAATCAATGTGGGTAACTTGAAATGAAATATCAAATTAATCTGCAGTAACTGCACCCAGTTGACTTGAGCTCACTTATTAGTGGAGTGAGACAGCATGAATATTAAGAGATAGAAACCATTAATAGGTAATACACTACAAACTCTGTATAGGATAAAGGATAAGAAAGAAGTTTATGAAATGATTAAAATAACAACAGGGTCCAATTAATGAAAAGTAAAACAGGATATTTGGGATATTCCAGTAGAGGCTTAAGTAAAATAAAACTAGAAAGTTGTTCTAGCATTGAAACAGCAGAAGAGCCTTAAAAGATGGCTGATGCACTATTACTAAGTGCTGTTGCCAAGTGGGCTGGATGGGTCAAGTGAACTCCCCTCATTTGAAACCTGTTTTATGAACAGTATTTCACTCAGGTGATCACCAAGGAAGAAGTCAATAGAATGCCAGGTGGTGGAAGGACAACGTTCTTAATATTATTTCTTATCACATTCAGGATATAGGATATACATATGTGGAAAATGTGCATATTTGGATTGACAATAATAAAAAACAGGATACGGATAAGAGGCAAATGCTAAGATTTGGGCACACTAATTAATAGAGTACCACAGGGATCTATACTAGAACCACTGCTCTGATTCTGGGTATTTAATAAACTAGTCACGTTTGCAGGTTATACCAAAATAGGAGTCGCAAATAAAATTCAAAAAGCTTTAGATAAAAATTGCAGACTAGGAAAACACCTGACATATGATATTAAATTGAGGGTGTTGCATGCAGATACCCCTAAACCTTAACTAGGTTTGAACAGAAAAGGCTTCAAAGAGACCTAGTGTATTCAGAGTCCTTAAAGGCACTTACATTGAACCACTTAAACACGTGGTAACTGTTCCGAATGACCTCGGCATTGTATTTTTTTTTTGACTTGGCTGCTACAATAGCAATATTCATTGCAACAAGAAAAAATGTATATACTGTAACCACTTTTTGGTTGACAACATCCAATTCTGACACCATTTCAAGTAACTAAAGTATTATTTAATATTTTTCAGAAGTTTAACTTGCCCTGCTGTGCACTCCATTGAATTAACGACGGATTTTGCATTTTAAGTTGATTTGTTTTCTGAGACGATGACGACAAAGACGATTCTCCTTGTTTTTCCGGTTAATATCAACGTACACAGGTCCGCTCCGCCTGTTTCTGGGGACCTGGAATGAGAAGCTGGCGCCTCGCCTCCCAATCTCTCTCTCTCTCTGTGTGTGTGTGTTGTTTCTCTCGCCTCTCCTCCTTAACTGGATTTCCATCGCAGCATCCCTGCTACTGGGCTACTACTTTCTCCAGGAGCGAACGAATGGATATATAATAATAGGGCAGAGAATGGCGGATAGAGAAAAAAGAAACCCGTCTCCAACTGGATCCCCTTTCTTGGGTTTGCACATCACCTCCTCGCCTAATTTCAGGTAATAGAGCTCAGGATAATCAAAGGGTACCGCAAACCCCTATCGAGCCTAAGGGCTTTTCGGATAACGAAGCTGGTGACGGATTGAAAACAGTGACAGGCTATAGCAGATAGATTGTTACTGCAGAAAGGGGATGCTCATGAATATACTGTAGTAGTGGTTGCTTCCGAGACGGAAAGTGCATTGTTTTTTTCCGTGCATCCCGTTATGTAAATTGAATCGATACAGAGAACCGGGGCAAGGCTGGCGGACGCACACAAATAGTTGCTGTTTACAAACACGAGTCTTTCTCATGTAAATTAAAGGGCGTAGTCCATTTTTATTCAGGTGAACAGATTGAAAACTCCCGTGATCTTGACGACACTGCGCGGAGGAAACAAAACAGATATCAAAGCTCTGTTTGTTGCTGTTAGAAGTTGGAAAGCGCTGCACGTTATTTTGTTACTGTTTTTGGTTTGGGCTTATTATTTTGCATCAAATCTCGAACACGAATGAACTCATTGATCATTTGGAATTGATGAGAATATTAGGCGAAAAGACTACTCGTGAAATCTAAATATCACCATTATTTACTCTTCACTAGAAATGTAAAATATAGATTTAACATACTATAAATATATTACGCATCTACTGTACCTATTTATCTAAATAGAGGCATCACACAGCTTTTCAGGTATGTGTGCAACTGGTTGACAGCAACAGTCATAGTGCTTGTGTGTGAAAAGTCGATACAGAGCGTGAATGGTTTGTTACTAGTTTGGTAGTAACTTTATAATTACCTGACCTTATAATCGAGAAATATGCATTGTATTTATTCAACATATTAAGCAAATAAGAGTAAATCCGAACATGCATTATTCTGCTAAATACTTAAGCTCGGAGAGAGGTCGCTATTAGAACTTTGAATCTGTTGTCCATTTTATGGCATTCAAACCTCCTAAATCCAGTACATTACTACAGCCTTTGCACTTGTGCATAATTTTGCTTCAAGAACTTAAGGATGCTTTGATTGAATCTGTTATCTGCAGAAAGAAAACAACCTTGGAAACATGTTTCTGTTTCATAGCATTGTGGTTAAAAAATCACAGCAAACATTTCACTTTTCCATCAGCATAAACGTTATAGATCAGAAGCCTTTATGGTCTCTAAGGGTAACATGTTTCACCATTTTTATCAGGGTGCAGGATGTGTACATCTCTTTTAAAGGGGAAACAAGAAAATGCAGTGATGAGATCTGTCATGCACAGTGTGTGGGGTATGTGCAGTGGTTCGGCTGCTGCTGCCACAGAGTATACAGAGAAAAAATGATGAGATCTTGCTGTACAAAAATATGTTACAGTGACATATTCATATCTAGTGGGGTTTCAAAACTCAACAAATTAGGAAAGTATTTGTGCTGAACGTCAGAAACTGCTCCTGACAAGTATCTTTGCATCTGATTGAAGTGGATAAAAAATGTGCACCAGCCAATATTTTCTTGCAGTGTGGGATGCTGTCCCATTGCAATTGCATACCAAGAATAAGATGCTGACATTAACAAGTAAACAATCATTGCACAGACTGTTGTGATTATTACGGTGACTAAAGTACATGACAAATGTATTGTTATACTGTGCACAATACTGAAAACTCAGTATTTATGTACTGAGTTTTCAACCTGTCAAAAATATTAACACACTGTAAAGGAATGTCCACACTTGCTTTATTTATGTACAGTATGTGTTTAACTTCCAAGAGACGTAATCTGTCACAGAACTAAGTCAGGATGCACTACAGGGACTGTCATTGCCTACATTATTCAGTAAATTCAGTAAAATAATAATCTGTAAATCCCTTTTTTTGTTACGTTTAGCTTTCCTGTATTTCTGGGATAACCTTTAAAAATCCCCAGCACTTCACATGTTGGCTGGTTCCCAACAGAAAGACATCTGTTGACTTATTTTTTATTTACAGTCATTTGCAAGGGTTAGTTTCACAACATGTTATTGCAGTCGTTTAAAAAACTAGTGTGATATTTTTAATGCTATCTTCTGCTGAAGGCTCAATGGCCCTTATGTGACTTTTCCGGTGTACAGATTGCCTTCCATCAACAAATGAATGCATTAATGACTGAATAATGATAATAATAGAATTCTGTAATTTGCAGCAAATTAAATCTGACTGCCTGCATACTGAAAGTACCTGCTTAGTTGATTCAGTATGCTCTTCATGCATCTTTTAGTTCTTTTCAGAAATGTAATCTAAAATGTCAGTAATGTTGGAATTAGATAAACAAATCATTTTTAGCAGGACCTTTCCTTTGGTTTTCATGCTATTGAAAATGATTTAATTTCATCAGGGGCAACAGGAGGTTAGGTTCTAGACTTGTAACTGGAAGGTTGTGGGTTCCAATCCCAGCTGAGGCTCTGCTGTTGCACTCTTGAGCAAGGTAGTACTTCAACCAAATTGCTCCAGTTGCACCATACCCAGCTGTATAAATATGTGCAAATGCAGTTCAATTTGGATCAAACCATCAGCCAAATAAATTAATAATAACGAAGGAGAAAGTAGAAGAGGGGAAAGATTGTGAAATTTGGGAAACAAATCAAGTGTCATCTGAATGGTCAGTGCATACATACTGCATGCTCATACCTATCTCTCTGTTATCAGGCAGCCAGTCATTTTTAGTGATTATAATAAAAGTGATGCAGAAATAAGTCATTATAAATACAAATGGAGATGTTTAGTAGAGCTCACATAGTATAGTTGTGATTGCCACAGCATTATCCAAATTACCTCTAATTAAATAACAATTGAATGTTAACAGTTATAAATTATAAATACTATAATGTTATCCTGATATCCATGGAATACTATACTTTGCTAAAAGCTAGTCCTGTTATTCAATATAAGAGTTATGAATATAAGCTATAATATGAGCTAAATAAATATCAGAATTATGTTAAATATACTACAGTTTTGTCTTTGGCAAATCATACAGTACAGTATATCATACAAAAATCTATGATGATAATTCCCAGTGTTTATTGATTTTTTACTGACTTATTCATGCATGTAATATTGTGACATAAAACTCATATTACATCTTGATCAAGTATCCTGACATCAGTTTCCCTAATTTCAAGTCCTTTGATTACAAATGCACAGTAAACAGCACTCCGGATTTGGTGTTTTGAGTTTGTAATTAAGGGAAATTGCCCATGATGTACAACCTTATTTCACATTTAGTTTTCCTAATTTAGAGCTGATTTAATGTCCAAGGCAGTATTTGTGTTCTGAAGCAAAGATGTTGTTTTTCATGAGAAAAACAAAATTGAATAAGATAAGAAGACTAATTAAGGTACCTAGTGGATCACACACACAGCACACCGGGTATGCATTTTTTATTCTCAAAGACCTTAAACTCTGTTTGGCTTAGGGACAAATGCAGGCCATTTACAGTATGTTATAAAAGTGCAATCCATTCAAAGTAGTTGCAGATTCTTTTTCATCTTCTTTTTGTATTGGACACTTGTTATATTTATTACTACCCATAACATAAGGCACATTCTTCTATGTCCTGAAAGCCACTTGTGATCTCAGGCATGTCTTTGATCACTGACATACATTTGACTCTGAAACTGCTGTGAACAGCCTTTGTGTTGAGGAGTGTTCTGCTTACCACCTATTTTTAAGTGGGTGATCTGACAGAAGTTCAATACTAACATTTTAGGCAGTAGTTATCAGTTGTTTTCATATGATTGGCTCTCCTTTTGATGTTACCATTCCATAAGCATTCAGCTGATTTTTCAACAATAAGTCCTGTGGTCTCTTATTAACGCTGCCCTCATGTTAATATTTATGTAAAGAAATTAAAGATTTCCAGTTCTGGTCAATAGGAATATAATTGTCCTAATAGAAAAAAACAGTCCTAGACCATATGTTTCTTTGAGTTGATACAGTTTACCCTTTAAGCAAATGTAAAGCAGAAATTCTATAATAAAAAATAAAGTAATAGTTGTAATGTAGTACAGTAGCATTCTTGCATTGCTTTATGGATTAGACCTTTTAAAATGCATTCCTTTATTTCACCGAGTCTTCTTCGTTTGTTTATGTTTCTTACAAATACAGTATAAATTGGTGCTGTGAATAGGGACAAAATACAGTTCATCCAAGTGTAGAATCTGAACTTGTAGTAGATGAGATGCATATTTTCAGACAAATGTCCTCAAAAGAGCTGATTAAGACTCTGATAAAGACACCATAGTCACTATATCTTAATATTCCTGAGGATTACACAGAGCAGAGAACAATGAGGTGCTATCTGTAAAGATATGTGCAAAGGAAACTGTTCTCTGTCACAAATAAATAACCACATAACAAAAACTTGCTGCTGAAGAGCTACAGTTTAATATGGACATATCACATTCACTCAATTTTTGAAAGTCTTGTCTACATAATGTATGTGATTCATTACCTGAACACACATACTACCTGAAATAAAAATAGTAAAATTGTATACAGTAATTCTACAAATTACAGTTGAATGACTGAATGTACTTTACCGATCTATGGAAAATAGCATTTCCATATTTTTAAGAAGGAAAATGTCCCTGGACCTTTTACTCTCATCTCTAGGTGTTTCCATCAGTAGTGAATGGTGCATCTTATTTAATGGGGAATATTATATGAAAGCTCCTGCTTTTTAGTAGCTTTCTGAATTCTAATGCCCTGCCTTGTAGAGGAAGTCTTCTACAAAGCACATATTTCCTCTTTCATACTAATGCTCTGTTCACCATGTTTTGGTCAATAGAAATAAAATCATCCTAATAACAGACCCTATAAAAAATAGTTCCAGACCATATGTCTCGTTCTTTTCAAATTGATTTAATGAGGTTGTTCTATACAGCAGATGTTACTGTGGATTCTTTGACCTTTTTTGTCTTTTATTGTTTTTCAGCCTATTCCATCAATTTCTTCAATTTATTTCTTCATCAGTAAAACTACTGCTGAAGACATTT